AACTGTCCGGGTAGTGATGGAAATGTATCACCATTAACAGCGTGAATGAAGTAGTACGAACCACGCCCTTCTTCTCAAACAAACATAACCCGGAAATTATCATTTCTGTATTTGAATTGGAGATGATAATAACTTAGAAATTTATCCTGACCCAATTTTGGCAAAGACACCATGATAATATGCAGGGCCGAAATTTAAAGTAATTCTTACCGATTTAAGCGAAAAGCTGTACTTCTACGCCCATTATACAAACAAACTTTTATATTTTCTCGATCGCCTTCACACCCCCCCCCCCCCCCCCCCCCCCCCCCCCTGTAGCTAGACTCCTCTGATTGGCTGTATGTAAATGAGTTCATTCTGGGGTCCGGAACACTTGTGGTGAAAATAATTTGGCGCCCCGGCTTACTTTGAATCATCGGCTTATCGCGTCCGATCGGGTGGTCGCGTTACACGACCTTTAGTGAAATGAAAGCGGAAGATCATGTGAAGATGTACGTCAAGGATGCGACCTATCGTATATTTGTCGTAGGTTTTTCCAAGAGAGTCGGGTATATCAGCTAAAGGGCGAATTAATACAACTTGTACAGCCCATTTAAATAAATTACGGAATACATAACATGTCCTTGGCATGCTTACACATTTGAATAGGTGACACACAAGGCTTTTTAAATTCCATTTATAAATCGATTCTTTAAAAGTCGTTGTTTTAGTGTTTTCAGGTGAACATGAATGTACATGTATCAGACAAAAATTGTATAAAATGTTGAATACATGTTTAACACACGATTAACACATATTCGCCGTCATAACACACCCCCCTCAAATTCTGTCAAGATGCGATGTTATCTGATAGGGACCTCGTACAAAGCAATTGAGGTTGACTTGTCGTTTTACGCCTGACATGACGGCCTGGCAATTAATTCACGATGCTGGGTCTACCCGCTGCGCCAACCGTTATAATTATGAGCTCAGTTTTCTGGGCTCTCTCGATGATATGCTATCTATTCCAGATGTGGATAAGGGTGTATACACTAAGTTGTCATTTAACACAAAATTATGTAATTTCGAAAATTTTCGTAGTTAATGTACTAATACAAATCTATCATATTTGTTAGAGATACTTTTTCCCTCTACAACCTTTTTTTTAAATTCGAAATAAGCCCCTCTACTTTTTTTCCCCTCTCCTTCTCCTCCTCCTGCTTTTTCTTTGTCTTTGTCTTTACTTTGGCTTTTTCCATAGTATCTCCGTTTTTTTGTTGTTGCTTCCTTTAGTAGTTATTGATATAGTTTCCAACTGTAATGTTCTAGGTAACCTCACCCCGACCCATCTCTCTCTTTCTCTCTCTTCTCTCTTCTCTCTCTCCCTCTCCTCTCTCTCTCTCTCTCTCTCTCTCTCTTTTTCTTTCTCTGTCTGTATAGACATATGAAAAATTCAATATCTGTATATATTGATATTTTAGCATACATGTACATATTCCACCTTGTTAATTCTACCTAAACTTTTTATTCTATTTTTAACCATCTTACGTTCATTTTTCCCAATCCGATTATATAATTATGATTAGCTGCGCAATTTTTAAGATTTTGCTTTAGAACTTTCTCGGAACATGATTGTATGACCACAATTAAAATCATTGAAAGCAATTTGTGATATCCAATGTTGATAAATGTGTTAAGAAACGAAAAACTGCAGCATGCATGATAATTTTTCTATTCGTTCCTTTTCATTTAGAAGAAACTTTAATTCCAATTCATACTCTAAAACATATTAATACAAACGTTCTTTTTTTAATCGGGCTGTCATTAACATGCCTTCAACAGGCTAATATCTTTATATCATTTTTGAACTTTTAAAACAATTTATGACACGTGATTAAGGAATAATATGAACACTCTCTTTCGCTGTCTCCTGCAATTTCATTAATGGTAGTCCTGCTATGAAAGCGGAGAGATTGCGCGACCCTGTAACTATTGCTTTTAGCGTAGCATATGGCGTTCTCCGTAGACGAATGGTTCCGAATGACCTCCACCCAACTTTACGCTCTGGCTGACACTGCCCTAGTCGCTGAGGAGTGATGCAGAATATGATGATCATGAAATTGGCGGAGATGGGGTTGGGATAGAGGTGAGGGCGGGAAAATAGAGAATAGACTCACAGGGAAGGGATGAAGTGAATTGTTTGGTTTATCATGATTATACAGACGTAATAAACAGGACAGGACAAAAGATGGAGTAAATACAGATAATTCTTCGTTTTGTCCTTTTCCCCCTTCTTCTTCTTTTGAACAATTGGTATGTATATATCACAGTGAAATTTACATTTTAATGGTGATACTAATGCCTAATTTTTATCGGGTAAATACCACTCCATGTGGTGAATATCAAAGGGCAGTACTGACTATATATTAAATGCAGAACGCTTATGATTACCTTAGAAATGGATAATAGTACAAATAGTGCTAAGGGGGCTTGTGCACTCCCTTCTCCTAATCAGATGACCAAGAGAGTGACAGAAAGAGAGAGAGAGAGAGAGAGAGAGACAGCTGAAATGGACATTTATTGCAGAGGAGAGAGGGGGAAATGAGCATTGTTTAAAAAATGACACGAGTCATTTTTGTATTCGATAACCAACCAGATTAGCGCGACCATCCCCTCCTTCACTCTGCCCGAAATAGACGATAGCGGGAATATAGTGAAAAGATGAGAGGGCCGAGAGATGAAAAAATAACAAGAGGAACGGTAAATGAAAAAGTTATGAAGCGGAAACGAGATGATAAAACAGTTTAATGGCGGGAGAATGGTGTAAAGACAAGAAGGCAAAATAGCTTAAGGATAGGATGTTAGCATTGTTAAGAGAGAAAAAATAAAGAAAAATGATTGAGGCGAAAACAAAATGATGAAACAGGATACGAGTAGAAAAAGAACGAGTAAAGTACTTATATTGCAGCGCATTTACATCTCCGGTAAAGTTTCGAATATTCGAATATAATATTGAACAGCACACGCCTTTTCTGCTTCTGGGTTAATTAGAGCGTGTTATGTCATTCACACATTTTAATTCGGATGCTAAGTACACATTTATCTACAGTAACATGTCTAACAAGACATATTTAAAAAAAGGAAAAGAAAATAAAACATAGCCTTCCACATTATTTATCGCTTTCTTTAAGAATATGTACACTTTGTTATAGTATGAAATCAAGCTTACAAAACATAATTACAATCGCATCCTCGTTATTATTAAACTATTTGAATGGAATTATACACCAAACACGTGTAAAGGTATGCCCATAGAACATCATTCTACCCTTTTTTCATTGCTTCAGATAGTTTTTACCATAATTATGTAAATTATTGATACTTTTTGGATTTGTAATGGTTCATATAATGAGGAAGAAGTTTTGAGGATTAACAGAACAGAGGGCAACCACCACCATACCACAAACATTTTCACATAGGCCTAGGTATGTTATAAAAGTGTCAACCTTCCCTTCTCCTGTCTCAATATTACAAGAGGCAACATTAATTCATCATCATCATTCTCTAATCAATTTATTATTTCGAGATAATGTTGAATTGAATGGCAGACTCGTAGATAATTATCTCGTCAGGCCGGTCACTATTTCGGATTGATGGTCTGTATTATTGCTGGAAGAGGGACGGCTCATAAAACTCAAACAAACAAAACACAAATATGGCTATTTAATCCGGTCGCGCCTTTTGGAATCAAAGAACGTCCCAGGGCACCTTTAGCCATACTTGCTCGAAATAACAATTAAGAGTCCGTTAGTTGATCGTAACGTTTGTAATGAAAATAAAGATATAAGCTAAATTGTAGGAACTTACCAGTTTCATCGATTGCAAGGTCAGGAAATCGAAGACTCACAATCCAGGTCTTCACGGGTTTCCAGGGCATCGAACAGTTAACTCGGCTGTTCTCAGTACTCTGTCAAAGAACCGCACAAAATGCCATATGTTAACAATGTTGGCTATTTATATTTTCCATCGACGTTGATGTGCAAGACGTACACGCATATGCAATAAAATGGCTTACCTGGAACGATGAAATAGGGAAAACTAGAAGAAGACTTTTGAAATTACTTTATAACATTTAGAGCGTACATTTTAGAGTATAATTTGATTTAATGTTGATGACATGTACTGTTTATCATATAATATATAAGGCATTTTTACGAATTGTTAAAGCTTAGAATTATTTTCGTAAATTACATATAAATATATTTGTTTGCAGGTTGATGCTCCGTTTATCAGTTAGGTATGTCATAAACATGTCACCGAACGATTGATATGAGCGAATACGAACTCTCAGTCTACTACAAGGTTTAAAATACTTAACAAATTATTATGTATAAACATATTTGCGTTAAATGAAAGTAATCTATATATAACATGCATATATATGTATATGTACAATTCCAAAAGATCGTTATTAAATTATTTTTCATTTTCATAATAAGCTTTTTTGTAAAGCCAAACAAGTGTTCATCTGATGTGTATGACCACACTAGGAGCTGTGATTTTTCATCCTTTAGGTGAGTATGTCACTATTCATAGATGAAACAAAGTTAGCATTTCTCAATCTTACTGGCTTACGCATATTTTTTTCTCTTGTCTTCTTTTTCTTTATCCTCCCGTAGCTTTACTTGTGGATTTCAAGTCAATACATTTTTGGAAGCTATCTATATCTTTACTAATATTTTGGAAACCTTTACTAATACAATATAATAGCTCTTAGGAAACAAGGGAATGAATGCGACGCTTACCGGGCCCATGAGAAACTTCCATCTTCCTTCGATCTCTTCAAAGCTGCAGTTTGCAGGAGTATCGGCTCCTACAAAGGTCCCGCCTCTTGGTCCTTCCCAAGTAAGAAAAACCAGTAGGACCACAAGAGATGCCCACAGATATATTCTCGCCGAATTTGCCTTCATCGTGCACAGCATCGCGAGATATTTAATGTTCCGGCAGGGTTGGTAAAAATGGGCAACTTTGAAAGATGGAATAATGCTTCAAGCAAATGTTTCTACTTCAGCTGAATTCGGGAGACGATGGACCAGGAATCAACCATATGGTAAGGTATGAGATCGCTCCGGTCGCCGTCAACGTTGCTGAAATGGCCTGGTAGGGGACGAAAATTAGCTATATTATGATCGTTCGATGTAGCTTTATTCCTCTTTGAAGATCGCGCATGTGCGCATGCGTACCGCCATAATCATCTTCACGTGATGTGTCTCTATATCTTAGTATTGTTCTTATTGACATCACAATGTAGGTTGGGAAAGAAAGGGCGTGAAAAGCGGTGTTCACATTAATTTATAGTGGCGCAATATATGAGGCAATTTGAAAGATAGGCTTATAATATATTTCTTTTTGGTGAAAAACGGGAGTCATTTACACAATACGGTTTTGCACAGTCTTACCTTATTTACCTCCCATCTTTTAGTTTGGTTCTTAATCAGGGGACTTACATCACATCTCAGGTTGGGTAGGAAAGGACATGGAGTACATGGTAGTGTTCATATTCATTTCTAGGTCATGAGATATTTAAGCATTTTGATAGGCGTTTCGTCCTGTATTGAACAGCAGAAGTTAAGGTATAGAATGATGCTTACGGTTTGGCAGGGTCTCGATTGCATCAAAATGTAGGTTGACTTTGATACTGCGTGCAGAAACGATGTTTATGTATTATCTGGCGTATTCAATAGCATTTCTAAAAGACTACTTTGTGCTAATTTTGATGAAAAAAACATAGTTTATGCTATAAAAAAATTTAAAAAAATTGGCATGGTCTGAACATTGATGAGGTTACTTCATAATTTGAATTCTGTATTGAATTCAATAAAATATATGTAGTTTGAATAGGAAAAGGCATGAAGAAGCGGTGTTCACATTAATTTTTTCCAAATTTAAGCATTTTCAAAATACAATTTTGTAGAGTTTTTGTTAATGAAAAGCAGAATTAATGTCTTATAGAATTAATGGTTTAGTATGGTCTCACTTTAGGGATTTACTTTACACCTAAATGTTAACTTTAATTCCCTCAAATATAATATAGTTTGGGTTATAAAAAGAGGTTGTGCATCCATCCATCCAAAAGATATTTGATATAGCGCCTTTTCCCTGCAGTTACAAAGCGCTGCACACATGCTGCACAATGTTTGGGCCACGTAAAAACAAAAGTTAGACACTTGTCAGAGATCAGTAAAGTATGTAGGCTGGTAATAAAGTCATTTCTAGCAGAATAGATATGACTTGAGTAGTTTCTTTAACTGGTCAACAGATGAGGCCGTCTGCACAGCAGTAGGTAGCTGGTTCCGCAGTTTTGCAGCAGCCGATGGAAAAGACAATTTACCAGCATGTCTTCTTAGAGAGACACTGAGTGCAAAAGCACTCTTTCACATTTAACATCCAGTGCATCTAAAACATATCTAAATGTTTTTTGTAAATCTGTATTCAATCAACAAGATGAATTATTGTAATATATAATTTGTGATTTGGCATGATCTCACTTGAAAGAAATTACTTCACATCTTAATTTGTTTTCTAATTACACTAGAATGTATATACATTGTAATAAAGGGTGTGAAGAAGTGGCGATCACATTGAATTCTGACGGCATTAAAATCATTTTGTAAGGCATTTTTGTGCTGTATTTGGTAAATAACAGAGACTATGATATGGTTTGACATGGTCTCAGATTCAGAACTTAATTTGCATCTATGTCATATATTTATCATTACTGCATTGTTAATAATGACACAATATTATACCATACTGTTTGTAGGAACAAGGCATCACATATATTGTTAAATATTGAACTTTGAGTATATACTAACAATTATTCAGGACATAATTTCCTGCAAATTTTATTACGCGTGTATGCTACAAAAACATAGACAAGAAAACAAAAATGCAAGACTATTGTACAACTCAAAGATAAGTATGTATATATTTAATCAATTAGCTACTTTACAATATAGTTTCTAGCACTACATTTTTTGTTGATAAAAATTGATTATTAAAATAGACTATGCACAACTCAGTTGCAGATGATTTTACTAATAGGCGTTATAACGCATATCCGATATACAATTTAGAAATATGTATAAAATGTTAAAAAGAGAGATAAGAGCTTTTGACCATTACATCTACTAACTACTATATAACAATACAAAACCCTACCAACATCATTTAATGTATAGTCCACTCGATTGACATCGGGGTCTGTGAAAGTCAATTCCTTGTTATTGTTTAATGATTTAATGGTCTGTCGGACATATATTTAAATACAAATATGAATTGAAACAAAAGGAACAAGACAGGACATTTAAAATTATGGGCAAACGATTTAATTTATTTTTCAATAATTAAAGTAATTAATCAAATTTATCGCCTTTTCAAATATATTCTTTTAAAATCCATTTTCATTGCTAGTGATTTTCATCGATAACGAATGCAGGATTTAGTGATTAACCGTGGATTCATCTTTGGAAATATGTTTGCGTTGTTATTTTATGTCAGTCGATATCACCTGCAGGGTTTCTTTTATAGATAACCGCTAAGTAGACGAGCTTATTTGTAGCAATATAACACCACTTTAAATCGTATAACTGCAAAGCAAAATCTTGTTCAATATATACAATACATGGACATCATTATTTATTACATCATTACCTTACACACTGCAAAATATGATATAAAGCAGGAATAGAAAAACGATTAGTATCCTTCTTTTTTAATCACACTGAAATGAAACGTAACTTTGGTATTAATAACGGGCAGCTTTGCATCAACTTTGATGACAACATGTTTGTCTGCGATATATCTTTTAAAAGGAAAAATACTATGATCAGGATGATTAGGATGATTAACGTTAATTCATTTTTGATGTGTTTTACAAATGAATCCTTTTTATACGTCGGACATTGCATACTGATTCATTATATTTATTATTTATTATAAATTACTATTATTATAAGTATTATTATTGTTATTATTAGTATTATTAGTAGTAGCATAAGTAGTATAATTATTATTATTACTATAACTATCATTTTTATTATCATTCACATCGTTTTTGTTTTTCTGAAAGATTGTTTCGGAACTTCCTTTCTTTCTTGTGAAAATTTAGTTACAAAAAATAAATGTTTAACCATGAACGTCTTATTTTCTACTCTTTTATCGGAGGGACATCACACGACTGTGCGAATTTTCAACCACCAGTATATCCTGGAATTCAGGAAAACGTGGGAAATGGGTTACTCCTTATGCCGGCGGTCGAAAAGTAAGGGAATGTGAGAGAAGTCACCCCAAAAACAAAAACAAAAACAAAAGCAAAAAATCTTTGAACTTCATTGCTCCCTAATCCAATCTCATATTTTGTTTTCATGAAAAACAGGAACTTTAATTTGTATGTGTTTTTATGTTTGTTTTCAATTCAACAATTATAACAGTTGTGGCCGGTTGCACCGGGTTAAAGCCCATCTGTACTAGGGTACAGGAGGGATAAGACCACCCTGCAATGTCACTGGACAGATGGTTATATAATCAAATCAGCTCTCAGTTAACATAAGAAAATGAAGACCATGGGGGACCATTGGTCACCGATTAGACATTGTTTGTTATATAGAGGGAGCAAGTAGCTACGAGTAGTACAGTGGGCCTTTAAACTGTGGTCTCATATGGAATGGTACACATAGCGGCTTCAGCTGACTTGGTGTCATCCGGTGTTTCTTGTTGGCAAAGTTGGAGATATGTGTACTCCTGGAGAGGGATAAAAGGTATATGTTGGAGAAAGAATGTCATTATCCATTACTTCACAACAATAATTTCTAAAGAATATGTTAATTGACAAACAATGAATATTACTAAGATGTTTATATTTGTCATAGGCTAAACAAAATCTATATCTTGGGGGAAAATGTCAATTTCGATCACCGATCGTTTAATGCATATCCTACGATAAAACACAAAGAACCACCGAAACTAAATTAATTAGAAAGAAGAAAAAACATTCCACACAAAACATGCCACTACAGCGGAGCTATAATCCTATCTAGAACGTGATAACTGAAATACTATTATCTGAATTGACCGTATCTTTCTGTTACAAAGACAATATCCAACCACTTACGTTTGTCTGCTTTCTTTTTTCTTAAATTTACTTTACGGATTGTTTGCCTACAATTATACCATACATGTATTATAATTGCACGACGAGTGTCAATTTCGGCAGAATGATAAGACGCATTACATTGCTCAATGTTTTATCATTATTGGTATTGTTATCGATATTATTTTTTAAAAATCAGCGATTCTCGTGCTTTTTAATGCATCTACCAATATAAGGTGAATGATAAACCATACAAAAGGAAATATATGAAACCCCGTACCCCTGATTCATTTCGTCGAATCGTAAAGTAGCAGATCGTGTACATGATCAAAGCCATGACTTTAAAGATTAAGACTAGTCCGATGATAACACGTGATAAGCGAATGTTGTCGTAGACGAGGCAGTTTCCAGTAATGCCACAGGATTCCTGAAACATCATGCATGTAGTCTGAATGGCCGCACCGAAAAAGATCGGAGCCGGTATAAATGCTATAACGGAAAGAGAAAACATAGTAATGTTACCGATGTGTTGCAATGTTAGGATGGATACAAGCAGTCAAGAGTTTACGACTTAATCACCAAGTGGTAGATTGCACATGATACACATGACACCAAATATCCACAGACATTTTAATCATATAGAAAAGTCTCATTTTGTCCAGTTTAGAATAATCACTGCCAAAGTCATGGAGGTGCTTCTTGAATACCTTTTACTTGCCCGCTTGGAAATACTACTCTCACTTGTCTATTACAACTAATATTGATTACGTAACTTTCATGAATACGTTTCACAATTCCTCCCGGTGGGTTTGACAGTAATTAACTCTATATAATTCCAATGCGCATGTAGCATCTACGAACTGGCCTATTGTACGACATTGCAAGTTATGGTGACATCACAGTTCTCTGGGACTAAGATGAGACTTGGACCCGAGGTCAGATACAAATAATAATTTCAGCACAAAAGCTTAAAGCCAGTATCTTTTTTTTAATATTTTGTATACGGTCCCCATGCGTAAGAAATATTTGGCGGGATTTATTACCTAAAACTCTCTGGAGTAAGCTCGAGAACGCTAAAGCAACCGCTTTGTCCTTATTATCTACTGTCCTGAAAGGAAAGAAATGGAAATGAATAAAAAGGTTAGGGTAACCTGATATATTTCCAAGGGTAAAATGTGAGCGTACTTTTATGAAACATAGTAAATTGTGCCAGATTTGCGTTCAGGAATCTTTGTTCTTAATCAGTTTGCTTTCATCACAACAAACACCATTCGACGGAGGTGTTCCTCTGTCGAGGCGCTCCGCTAGAGGGGTCTCATAGCTCTCTGTCTTTGTGGCGTTAAAGTTGGAGTTAATGTCCCTCCCTTTCTTTTTATTCTTTTTTTTTGGTATCTTTTTGTTCAGCTAACTTTTTGTGGCCAAACTGGCCATCATGGGCTATGTGTCCTACTGGGTGACGCTACGCAATTTGTAATAACCGTATGCAGGCCTGACCGTATGTATACAATTTTTAGCTTGAGCAAATCACACTGTAGAGTGGTCACGTTCCCAGGTCTGTGTGAGTCTCCTCTGAACCGCACTGCCAAGGTGGTCGCGTTGACATATAACCTTATGAAGAAATCCCAAACTCCTTATCAAACAACATTTAACCTCTGAATTCGATGCCCTTGGTGATTGCTTGTATTTCCTGGTGAATTCTGTGAAAGCGATAATTGAAAAGTATGATATAAGTGTGATCGATTATTGCATCTTTTTTTTTCATTTGACCGCGCCGTTATTAGTGAATTGATAGCATCATTATGTCTCCTAGGTTATGTGTTGTACGCGACTGGGTGTGAGTTCGACCATGGACCTATTACGGATGGACATTCATCGTTTTCTTAACGAATTCATTGTGATTGTCTCCGTCAAAGTCGTCTCAATAACATTCCCTATATGTTTCTTCACTTTGATCTCATGATGGTCACCGCCAAAAAGCCGGGACAGAATCAAGATATTGATTTACACATGTTAATCTACATGCGCAGAAGATAATAACTCGCCTAAATCATGAAAAATAGATGTGCAGTTCTGGCTTATAATCGAAAGTTGTTGTTCTGTGTACTGTACATGTATTTTATTTTGAAAAACATGTTAATATTACCAGATAGAGGTTATTTTTGGATTTTTTTGGTTGTGATTTAAAATCCCGTTTCCCCTTATTTCCTCATAATATTCCAGAGTTACAACGCACAGGGCTGATACAGATCATGGCCTTCTAATTGTTTTATAAGGTCATAGGTGTGTGCGAAAGTTTGCGAATCAGTAATAATACATTTCATATCACCAAAATCGTCTGCTTTTCATCTTTGCTGCTCCCCATTTGGGATGTTTTTATTGAAGACATACTCTTACAGAGCACACCTTCCAAACAAAACCCAAGAGAGGGAAACTGCTCCTTTGTCGATGACCGAAAATGCTTACGCAGTCGTTATTGTTAAAACAGCTGCATGTTCTCATTAAGATGCACATAATCAAAAGGCGGTGACTATCATTGGATCAAAGAAAGAATCATGTTGAATGTCCATCCGTAATAGGTCCATGGTTCGACGATGCGGAGCTAGGAGCCTCACGAGACGAAGCGTGGCCACTTTAAAATGCGGTTTGCTCGAGCTCATTTTATGTTTTCTCGCTTTAATACTCACCTAATGAATAGAATAAAACAAGGAACATTCAAGAAAGCATAAAACAAAAACAAGAGAGCAAGGAGGGCAATGAAGCCGTATTTCTTGGTAGTGCAGGAAGTAGAACATTTTTCAGGTACAGATGTGTCATCCTCGTATGCCGGGGTGGTCAGGAACGCATTTGATCCTATGCATGAACAGTTGGAGTATATCATCTGGAATCAGACACACAGCATAATGTTGTGATTATTGGGATGAACAACTTATTTTGTGCCATATGGTTAGCTTTGTCTTATAGTTTCATACTGCTGCAACCATTGGCGTATACAGGATTTTTGTTTTAATGTCAAGAAATACATGCAGTATCGTACGAGACAACGTCGTCCGTAATGCCTTGACATATCAACTAAAAATAGTACAGTCAAAACAATATACATTCATACTATGTGGTTAACTGGAGCTAATAAATAGTAACATGCTAATTTTCATATCTTTCAGGGAACATATATATATTACGTACAAATAAAGAGAATTATAATCAAACCATGTAGCTTCATCTTACAGCTTCAGATAATCGGCATTACAATAATTTAGTTAAACAAATTCGACCAGTAGAAATGTCTGTAATGGTTTGCAATTGCTTCTATGGCTTGTAACATGTCTTATATCATTTAGAAGAGTGTTCCGTACAGTAGAACCAAAAAGTGTAGAAAGACAGTGAAGACCATTGTGTATAATTATTAAATATATTCTTTTTTGGTAGTTTGGTACTTTTATATGCAATTTTTATGATGAATTTCAAGGGATGGGGCACTTGGCGTAGAAAAGGGGGTAAACATAGTGGGTATCATGCCGATCCTTCGGAATTGCTAAATGACGCTAAACACACTAAAGCACATAAGTAAAATCAAGTTAATCAAGTAAATATAGTTCAATGCCTTGTCATATAAGACTAGTGCACCACCGAAACTCGAACCAACGACCCCTGTATCTCCAGTCAACCACTCGACATTAATTAATCTGCATAACTAACCTGGTCGCTATCATCATCAAAACTTTGATCCTTACAGCCAGCGTGACATGGTGTGACGTATGTAATCCCATTCGATCCACAGACGGGAGTATACACGCCCACCGGACAAGTGCAACCACTCATACAAGACGCAATTGGCACATCCCTGATATAATCAAAAGGAGGAAAATATTTTTGTTTAAGTTTACCTCACGGGTGTCACATGACAATGCGCAACGATTATTGTCGTCGTTCAAAACATAATAATTGAGCGGTCTTTGAAAATCTTCATCATCTCAGTGCCCCTTATATACTTAAAATAATTCATTTCATTTCGTTTATTCATCAATATTTTTTAATTTTCTATTCGAATCTTCTTTACCGAAACCACGTACCAAATCATGTCCGTAGAATGTTTTCCTATCTTTCAACCTTTATCTCCAAATTACAATATATTCGTGAGGACAATCAATGAACACACATCAAAATGTGATTCCTTTAAAAATACAATTATTTGACAAATTGACTCATAAGAAATGTAAGGCGGGTGGGGTCGAGGTCTGTTTTGAGTGGTTAGGGACATATTAATAGATTTTAAAACGTTTGTTATGTTGTATTAATAGCTGATATGATATGATATTATAATGTTCTCCCGTTTGTTTGTGTCATTAACACTAGGAACCCTCTCTATAATTATTCATAGTTGTGCTGCAATGATAACTATTAAAGGCACAGCTGAGCATGGTGATCCTTCCGAAATTATTTTAGAATGACACTGTTGTTCAGGAAATGGAAATCAATCAATAAAAAGGCTATCAGGGGCACGGTTTTCAGAAAATTACCCCCTGGACAATGACCCCAGCCAATTACCAGCGGGACAATTACCCCCTCCCCCCCCCCGAGGACTACCACCCCAAGGACAATTTGGACGTTTGGCTCACAGGCTGTCAAAGGTCTTCCTTTCCGCAGTAGGCTACATACCTGCCAATCATTTCAGTACCGTCTGGATAGGGGGTATTCAGACCAGCAATGGGTGACGTGTCGCAGCTAACGACGAAAAACATGCCCAAAATGAAAAGCGTGAAACAGCCACCGGTAATGATGGCTCCGCAAAGGCCTTTCAGAGATAGTTTGAGTCGTTTGAAACAGATTCCACCAAGCATATTCCCAACGACGCCAGAAGGGGTGGAGGCACAACCTTTGTATTAGAAATACAGCATGTAAATGAATTCCGAAAAGTTAAATGCATTTTCAATAGTATTGCCCATCACCATTTGAAATGTGCGAACATTAAATTGACATAGTACGTAATCCGAACATAATCTAGTAGAGTATTAAAATCGCCCCTGACTTGATTTTTCGAAAGCGGTTGTGATCATGTTATTATTGTTATGATTTATTCCTATTGTTATACTACTTCTTTATTTGTTGTACTACTACTACTACTACTACAACTGGCAAATGCATAGCCAGGAATCATGGGGATGAGGGGGGGGGGGGCAACCCTCGAGGGAGGGGGTGCATAGTGACAAATGATATCTGCCTAATGTATTATTCGAGCGAGCGAAGCGAAAAGAGGAAATGCATCTAGCAATACTAAAAGTAAACATGGCTCACATGCAACCTGTCAGTTCAAGCTATGTTTTACTTTGTTTCTTTCTATTCCTACGTTTCAATCTTTTCCTGAGGGCAAATCCCTTCAAAAGCGTGTCATTAATCATAAAGCGATTATAATAAACAAAACCGAAAATGTGATCAAAACACTTTTTAGAATGACTTCTCTTATCATGGACTGTGGCACTAATAATTGTGTTAATTTAATATCGAACCAGACATATCCCATGCCGATTTCGTCACAGCTTTCCGCTCACCGAGTATTATTGACGTCATCGATGGCGTGACGTCATATTGTGTCTGCAGGTAGCGTCCAAGAAACGAAAAGAAACCAGCGAACATGATCGAATCAGAAATGGATGAGATGATCAACGTCGAGTACGTCATGTTGGTTGCAAGGCGACGTGTAGCAGAGAAGTAACCTAGATATGATTGAATGTTTGGGTTAAAAATGTCATGTGTCAACATAAAAGCTAAGATTTTGATTGATTGAACCATGGACCTATTACGGATGGACATTCATCGTTTTATTAACGAATTCATTGTGATTGTCTCCGTCAATGTCGTCTCAATAACATTCCCTATATGTTTCTTCACTTTGATCTCATGATGGTCACCGCCAAAAAGCCGGGACAGAATCAAGATAGTGATTTTACACATGTTAATCTACATGCGCAGAAGATAATAACTCGACTAAATCATGGCACATAGATGTGCAGTTCTGGCTTATAATCGGAAATTGTTGTTCCGTGTACTGTACATGTATTTTATTTTGAAAAACATGTTGATATTACCAGTTTCCCCCAATTTCCTCATAATATTCCAGAGTTACAACGCACAGGGCTGATACAGATCATTGTCTTCTAATTGTTTTATAAGGTCATAGGTGTGTGCGAAACTTGTTTGCGAATCAGTAATAATACATTTCATCTCACCCAAATCGTCTGCTTTTCAACTTTGCTGCTCCCCATTGGGGATGCTTTTATTTAAGACACACTCTTACAGAGCACACCATCCAAACAAAACCCAAGAGAGGGAAACTGCTCCTTTATCAATGACCGAAAATGCTTACGCATTCGTTATTGTTAAAACAGCTGAATATTCTCATTAAGATGCACATAATCAGAAGGCGGCGACTATCATTGGATCAAAGAAAGAATCATGTTGAATGTCCATCCGTAATAGGTCCATGATTGAACGCATACTTTTATCTTCTCCTCTTCAAAAGCTAAATAATTATTACTTTAGCCGGATGATGAAAATGGTTAACAAAAAGGAGTATCAATCAGCAATGAAGGTTTGAACAGCCGTTTTTCTATTACCTAAACTGGTGTGTTACTGCATTATGTGCAAAGATTATCTGTCACGTATGTAGGCCTTATTCATTATTGTTGGTGGTTTATTTATGAAATAGGTCCACCTTTAATTAAAACACTGAAGACGATGGAAACAAAGCCGATTCGATTAGATCGAACAGTGAACACATGTCATGATAGGGACTGTGGAAGATCTTCTAAATTTTTCGCATATGGCAGAAATAAATATTCCAAACAAAACTATTGTCTCGTTCTTCACGAAACTATAAAAGCACAACGCGACTTCGCAGACATAGCAAATACCGTCAAGCTACAAGGTTTAATATATCCAAAGAGATTAAAATTGAAATGTGAACTAAACCTGGGATATAACCGTTTAATAAACAGTGGCTTTGAGGAGAAATATTTCCATAAATATGATATATTTACAATTATAATTACCTTTGACCATACCCAAACATGTTGAGTCTGGACCTGGAAGGTTGCTCTTTATCAAGAAAGCTGTTGAAGGTTGATCATCATCTTCTTCATTCGCACGTTTTTCTTTCATCTTCTTCTCTTCCAGATCAACCACCACGACGGCCTTTTCTGGCCAGTCCTTCAGGAGGTTGCAGGCAATGTGAAAATAGTGAAGTTTTAACTTCAACTGTGCATGGTAACCAATTTTTTATGATTTGGGGGCTAATATATTCACAGCAAGATGCCATCTCTTCCTGTGGGGCCTCCATGTTTAATTTACTAACAACACTTCGTACATTTTTCTAACAGTACTAACCTGCGTTTTTACAGAGAAGTTTTATATGCGTATTTTTATTAAAGGGATCGTTTAACAATGTTAAATCTGAGATGCACGGCCCTACGTGTTAACAGTGTCTGTGATATCGTGCTATATTGAAGCCCTAAAAAAATTGCGCTTCAAAATGATCAAGAAGTGCCTCAAAAAAGTAAAAACCTTTGAGTGACCGGATTTACCATACTCGTTTTCCCCAATAGACTGTAGTGTTATGAAAACCGTTTGGCAAACGGTTTTCAAAATTTGTAATTCCAATCATAAATATCTTGATAATCAGACAGGCGATCGGCCTGTAAAAGTCATGGGGGTCCTGACTGACCTAAATGTTTATAACTATCATTGCAGCATGAGCTAAATCCAGGATTTTGTTTCAGAATCTGAGACAAAGTTACCGGATCCCTTTAACTTGATTATAATCATTACACACAAAAAGGAATATTTTGAGTAAACTGTAATTAAGTTACATTAACTAAATGGATCCCTTTTATTTGATACTTACTTTGGGAAAAAAGAAGTATGGTATAGCGAGAAACAAAGTCAGCAGACCGTAGATGACGTACCCAAGCCACCACGCGCCAACCCACCGAGGATCTTTACTGTCATAGCCGAGTTCATCGACGTCGATTTTGTAGAAGTCGGTATGTAGAGAGAGTGCAATCCCGCTGAGCGCAAAAGCCGCGAGTGGTGATAAACTGAACATCACGAAAAGTGAAGCTGTGGATTAACACGAAAAGAGGGGCGGTATGAGTTTATTTTTTGTGGGGTATATACATTCTTACCGTCTTGCAAGGTTGGAAGATATTTTATGACTTTTTTACATAATAATTGATTAAGCATTTTGATTCGATGTATATTTCTGCTTGATTCTACTTCTTCTGCTTTCGCATTTTTTACAATTAAATTACCATCAAAATGTAATTATGTACCTCAAAAAGGGTGCGGTACATAATATTATAGGCTAACATGTTCAAAGAGGAGATTTGACAGGGAGAATTGCCTGGAAAGGAGGGGCTACCCCCCCCCCCCCACCCCACCCCCGGGCCGCTGGAAATGATTTCTGGAATCCCACCGGCCCCGTCCGTGGTCTCCAAATCATGCCAATGAATATAACATACCCATATGCATATAGGGGGCAGTCCTGGAAGGCAAACCATCATCCATGTAGGTCAACCCGAGGGTCCAGTATCCGGTGGCGCCTAGCCCTAAGAAGCCCTGGCCAACGAGAAACCATGTCGCTCTTCCATACTGCGCCCCCGATGCGTCGACTTCTTCCTTTGAGCAGTCGTCGTCAGTGTCGATCTCACAGAGACTCGTATTTTCTGAAAGAAACAATTTAAGATTCAAGATATCTTATTTAACCATATATCATTAATACAAATATACAAACAATAATACCAAATACATTTTGGAATATGGAAAGGACCAAAAGAAAAGCAAATGTTTGCCAGTGTGAGGAATGGCCCTGAAAGAGAGAAAGAAAAAATACCAAGTAGATACAGAGTCTACAGTTCAACTTCAAGTAGCAAGGATCAAGGTTTTGGTGTTGCCCTGACAAGGACGTATGTATGTACAGCAATTATCTTGCATACGTGCTTAATACTCCTCATTCACAAAGCAGAGAACAATCTTACTCCATTCTAGATATCATTACTTATTTATAAACACACTCCAGAACGAACTTTTCGATTAGCATGACATCTTCTTCATGTACACCCCTTAAAGGTAAAGACCAGTATTGGTAACGCCCCAATTTCAAAAAATGAAATGGAAGCTCTCATTACCAATCATGTGAAAGAATATGTTTTGACTAATACATGATGATAAAAAATTTGCCGGGAAACCGCCTACTAATTCATATATTTGGTAAATTTATTTCTCTCATGGTCGTGTGAGAGAGATAGGGTAGTCCCATATACATCTTTCTGTGTATAGTGCTTGTAACTTTACGAAGAATGGGCCAAATTTCTTATCATTTTGATGATTCCAGAACCTTGCAGATGCTAGATGCTAGATGATCAACCTTTTCTGATCGATTCCACAACGTTTCTTTCACAATGCAATCGCATGACCATTACTGGTCTTTACCTTTAAACATGAATACGTATGGAAACCGATCCTTTGTTGCTCCAGCTCCTGCTGTGTGCAATTATCTACTACAATAACTGAAGAAAGTCTATATTTTCTGACAGTAGTTTGTATATCTTTTTGTATTATGTTTATATTGCCCAAGTTTGTAATGTAAAGAGCATAAAGAATTAAGTTTAAATTAGTGACCGCTATACAAATTAAACGTTATTATCATTATTATTATCATCATTATTAGATCATAGTTGTAACGGCATCCATTTTGAAGTTTATCGAATACATTATTGTTTTCTTTTTTCCATCAACCTTTATAATGGGTGTATTATCCATTCTCTAACCTTAAATACCCAAAGCGAAACCAGTGAGCACTCATGAGTAGAATCATTGTTGTAAAACGAATGAGCTGAACATGTTTTGCCTCATGATTGTGTGGTCTATCTTCCCCATCGCCTCTATGTATAACAACCAAGGCCAGTTCTATTTGCAATGCAAACAAAATGTGTTGGCAGTCCACTTGACAACTTCTCTCTCTCTCTCTCTCTCTCTCTCTCTCTCTATCTCTCTTTCTCGCTCTCTCGCTCTTTCTCTCTACTGACAACGTACAGGAAAATCCACAATCCACTGACCAAATTGCCAATATGAGATTCGCAAGGCTGCAGTGATTTCATAATTCGAATATTCATTACCTTCTTATTATTAGTCCATTTCAATTCAAACTTTCTCCGTTTTTTTCTTCTGATTTTCTCCTTTCACTCTAAATTAACTCATTAAAATATAATTGGCTCTATTTGATTAGGTACGAACCCTATAACAGCATCCATTGAAAAAGAGATATAATGAATACTAGGCTGCCCAGTTAGATAAAAAATAATCTTCCAATGTGCTTCTTTACTTGCTTTGTACTGGCTAATCAAATGATACGTTGAACTCTGGTAATTCCACGTTCAACGGCGTACACATGCAAACATTTTCCAAATATTTGACTGTATAGACCTAAACTAGTCTCTCGTGATATTGCATTCCAATTTCAAGACTAGGATCTAGCGCGTAGCCAGGATTTTTTTTTTTTGGGGGGGGAGGGGGGGGGGTAGTGAGCACAGGAAGCTTGCGAATCACTTACAGAGCGCGCTCCCTAGGGGGGTGGGTGCAGGGAGTGGGGAGTTTCTCATTGCCTCTATGTATAACAACCAAGGCCAATTCTATTTGCGATGCAAACAAAATATGTTGGCAATCCACTTGACAACTTCTCTCTTTCTCTCTCTCTCTCTCTCTCTCTCTCTCTCTCTCTCTTTCTCGCTCTCTCGCTCTTTCTCTCTACTGACAACTTACAAGAAAATCCACAATCCACTGACCAAATTGCCAATATGAGATTCGCAAGGCTGCAGTGATTTCATAATTCGAATATTCATTACCTTCTTATTATTAGTCCATTTCAATTCAAACTTTCTCTGTTTTTTTTCTTCTGATTTTCTCCTTTCACTCTAAATTAACTCATTAAAATATAATTGGCTCTATTTGATTAGGTACGAACCCTTTAACAGCATCCATTGAAAAAGAGATATAATGAATGCAAGGCTGTCCAGTTAGATAAAAATAATCTTCCAATATGCTTCTTTACTTGCTTTGTACTGGCTAATCAAATGATACGTTGAACTCTGGTAATTCCACGTTCAACGGCGTACACATGCAAACATTTTCCAAATATTTGACTGTATAGACCTAAACTAGTCTCTCGTGATATTGCATTCCAATTTCAAGACTAGGATCTAGCGCGTAGCCAGGATTTTTTTTTTTTGGGGGGGAGGGGGGGGGGTAGTGAGCACAGGAAGCTTGCGAATCACTTACAGAGCGCGCTCCCTAGGGGGGTGGGTGCAGGGAGTGGGGAGTTTCTCCCCTCCCGCGCGAAGCGCGGAAGCTTTGACATTTCATTCAATTATTAGAGGAAGAAGACGATTCGTTGTACCGTTCTCGACTCTTAATCCTTGTCTTAATCAAAGTTCCCCTTCCTTCGCGCGTAGCGCGGAAGTCTGACATTTCATTAAATTATTAAAGAAAGAAGACGATTCGTTGTACCATTCTCGACTCTTAATTCTTGTCTGAATTCAGTTTCCCCCCTCCCTGTCCAGATATGATGCGGTAAACTGTGGCGGTTTTTTTTAACGATGACAATACGTTTTTTTTTAATGATCGACAGAACCTTTATGTGGGTCTTTTGCAGTTTCCCATTTCATATTATATTATTATCTATTGCTTTAATATAAACATGTTCATTTTTTGTTTTACTCCTGTCTTTATTTCTCTTTTTTAATTTAGTGTTTAAGGTTCAATGTATACTATACTGTGTATCCTACATGTAATTATGTTCTCGATTTGCGATGTGTTTTCAATGTAGTTTTTTTAAAGGACTTGAATAAATAAAATTGAATTGAATTGAATTGAACGTGTAATTTGCTCGAAATAAATGTGTCTTTTAATATAACGCAGAGCTAATTAGTGATTGCCTGTAGTTGGTCCCAGTTGTTATTCATTCACAGGTGCAACATATACACACACGCAAAGAAAAACAAACTTTACTGGGACTAAAAACACACTAATTGTCAACATGCCATAATATAGCGTATACTTACGAAGACCAGCGTAAGGAAGAGATGTGACGTCTTCGGTCTTTGCTGATTCGTTGAATGGCGTTACCGACGTCGGCGTGGTTTTGGTCGTCGTTTCCTTGTTTCCAGTAAACTGAGGAAGCGCACACATGAAGCAACCAATAGCGAAAAATATTGTGAGAAAACCCAAAATCCTTGGCCGGTGACGGGATGCTCCGATGTAAGCAATGGGTGTAACTAGGACAAGAGCAACGATGTCGTTGATACTTAAAACGAGTCCCACCTAAACGAAAAGAAAGAAGGGAAAAAAAAGAGAAATGTAATAATATCAGACGTAATTATATGTATTTTTCTAACTATTCGGGCATTAAAAAGACCATAATGATTTTCCACGATACAATGTTATATAACATCAAATTAGACACGCACATAAACCAACAACAACAAATCAGAAATTCCCTCTCATTTCTGAGAAATATAGTTTGGAGAAAAAACTGCTAAAAGAAACAAGTTTGAGAGGAGTTTGCCCGCTTCATCATCAAGTTGGTACGTACTTCTGAACTTTTGAACTGAAATTCTCTTTGAATGGTGGTGAGTATTCCAGATGTATAAGGTCCTATGGATCCAATATAGACGAATAGTGTCGCTCCAAGGAGTACCGTGAAAGAAATGTGGTTAATACACCGCCTTGTGGAATCCTTCTTCATTTTTTCTGATGTCCGTTCAAGTTAATGAAAAATAAGTTGTATTTTGTTGATAACCAGCGTCCGTCCGGCATATCAAAATGCCTCTTGCACGTTGAGGTTCTCCGAATTGCAAACTTAAAAAAGAGGACGGTGTGGGGCGTGCTAGAACACAGAGCTAAAAACTATATACTGACACACGAATCAGGTGATTGTGTAATGCAAAATGAAAAACAATGGTTGATTTCCGGCCGGATGCACCGAGGTTGGTAACTATCCTGAACTTGCAAGTCAGGGCAATGAATCGAAACAAACGCGACGGCTATTTAATATCTCGCTTTTCGAATCTCCAAAACTATTTTTTGACGTAGCATAAATTTGTTACGTGTCGGAGCAGTCAAGGTTACCTAGTGATCTGTATTTATTCATGCACCAACGGTTTACATTCCAGCTTTACTGTAAGATAGTCAAGAGTATACAAGATAAGGTTACAGGGTAAAAAGAGAGAAAGAAAAGCAAACAGACTACAGAAATTAAGCTCAGATTTCATGACTTCGGTTAAAGTGATCTTTGGTTTGTTTGAAGAAGGACACGTGGAGGCCCAATGTATTTTTTTTTGGGGGGGGGGTGGCGGGTAGGGGGTAGGATGGGGGAGTGGCTGGGTTGATTCTGGAGGCTCTCTTCTAGTTCGGTCTTCATATTACCATAACTTTGTTATTAATCAAATTACAGGGTCCTTATGAAGAACAGCAGTCATGCTGATGGGGCTTTCCGGTGTAAACAAAATGATTATCTTTATTTAGTAGCAGTGGTAGTAGCAAGCGCGTAGCCAGGATTTTATTTTAGGCGGGGGCGGTAGTACATGAGCATGCGTAGCGTGCGAATCACTTAAAGAGCGCGCGAAGCGCGTTTCCTAGGGGGGTGGGTGCAGGGAGGGGGGAGTTTCGAAAGAAGACGATTCGTTGTACCTTTCTCGACTCATAATCCTTATCTGAATTCAGTCCGCCCCTCCTGCGCATAGCGCGGAAGCTTTGACGTATTATTAGACAAATAAGACGATTCGTTGTATCTTTCTCGACTCTTAATCCTTATCTGTATTCAGTATACCTCCCGCGCGAAGCGCGGAAGCTTTGACGTTTCATTAAATTATTAGAGAAAGAAGACGACTCAAAGTACCGTTCTCGATCGACTCTTAATACTTGTCTGAATTCTGTTCCACCCCCCCCCCTCTCGCGCGAAGCTTTGACGTTTCTTTAAATTATTAGAGAAAGAAGACGATTCGTTGTACCTCTCTCGACTCTTAATCCTTGTCTGAATTCAGTCCCCTCCCCCTCCTCCTGCGCGAAGCGCGGAAGCTTTGACGTATTATTAGACAGAGAAGACGATTCGTTGTACCGTTCTCGACTCTTAATCCTTAGTTCCCCCCCCCCCCTTTCGGCGCGAAGCGCGGAAGCTTTGACGTTTCATTAAATAATTAGAGAAAGAAGACGATTCGTTGTACCGTTCTCGACTCCTTTTCCCTTTTTCTTCCTACGTCCTCTTACTTTTTTTTCTTCTGTTTCTCTCTCTTTTTTTTTTTGGGGGGGGGACGGCGTTTGGGGGGGTGACCGCCCCCACCGCCCCCCCCCCCCACTGGCTACGCGCCTGTTTAAGTAGTAGTAGTATAGTAGTAGTAGTAGTAGTAGTTGTAGTAGTAGTAGTAGCAGGGATATTATTAATATTATTGCTATTATAATGCTAATTATCATTATTATTATTGATACCTTGGATCATTTTAAACAATTAAACACTGGAGTATTGGACCATGAAACAGAATTTAACTTTGCAGAGGATCTAAAGTCCAAGGAAACACATATAAAATATTATGGCTAGTCCAGAATCTGACCGGTTCTTTATATTCCCTACATTTTGAATCAAGCCGCCGAAGATGGCGATAAATCAACGAACTCACTCGGAGGACATGATCGAATCTCTTTGAACTCACATTAGAATGTGGGGCAAGGGCCAGTTTACCATCTAAAAAAAAGTTTTGTAGTCCCATCTTTGGCAGCGAAAACTAACTATACCAAATGATTGTGATGAAGTTGCTGATGAGAAAATACCTTTGTTCTCCAAATTTCGTACACCCGTTGATGAGATAATCCGCTAATTAGTTTTATTGGATTTTAACAAGATTTCCTTACATCAGCCTAACTACCTGGCGTCATACCTTCGGCTGGCAGCAGGTGGAGGTCGCATTGCGTTAGTGTGGTGGTGGATTCTGGACTAACTTATGGCCTGACCCACAGTCGGTCCATCAGCTCAAACTTAGTACAAGGGTACTATTTTAAAAAAAACCTGGTGCTCAGTTATCCGTGACGGAAAGAAATGAATAGGGTATCATCATTAGACAGAAAACAAGTTAGGCCTACTCTTACAAATCTTAGTGACGAAATTAATTTGAAGGTCACATTGATTATGACTTTGTTTTGTCAATATTAAACTACCGATGTTGGATTTACTTTTTTTTTTGTACGCACTGGTAGTTGGGATGTAAAATTGTATGTCCTTAGTTATAGTAGCCTTTACATACATCAAAATGTAGGCAATGATAATATATAACGTATCCGGGGAACTGCATAATTTATTAGCCATATTTGCTTTTTCGTGGACCCCATTACCATTTAGGCCTACTTGTTATACGGTTACAATGTAAAGATGTTCAATTAGGCCTATAGTTTATCTTGTTTCAGAAAATGATAATAAATTAATTCATTCAGTCATACACATAACGAACGTTGGAGGTCTACCATACCAATGTTAATAAAGGCCTATGGAAAAAAACAAATTATTCATTTCACTGACATCTATCTTTTAAATATAACATTTGAAAATTGCCCTGTATATTTGCGATGAGTATTAAAGTGATAGCCATATTGTCTAGACTACATCCCCCCGGCTACTATTGATGTCCAAGTATATGGCCCTAAGCGTTATAAATGTCATTACATGAATTTAACTGTTTACTTTGTAATATAGTCTATTTAATAGATAGCTGAATGAATGAACGAACAAATAGATAGAAGTATTATGAGTTTGTTTAATGACTATATATACCGCGCCTACTTTGCCCCATATTTCACATCTGCCTTAAATTATTATCTGCTTTCGAATTTCCAACGTATAGCCTTTTCATTTAGGAATTATTTATTGAAATTGAGAAGCATTCAGGACGAATCAATACAAAATAGACAACATTTTAGATAAAGATTTGGTAGTATTATCTTGAGACATGATTGTAAGCGGCAGGATGGGGCCTGAATCTGAAATGTCTATTTCGGCCATAGAGATATAGTCTTATAAGCATATATCTCTAACTCTATGATTTCGGCACGGATATGGGCGCGCAACCGCTATCCTCTCGACCTTTGACCACTTGCACCGGTACGGTTTTAATTGCATGTACATTGTTGTTGTTGTTGTTGGGTAATTGTTTATTGGCGTTCATTCAATGTTGAATATATACGCCATAATTATTTTTAATTTTATAAGGAAAATCAGTTATAAATAAGAAAACTGAGGATAAAGATTTGTAATGATATAATTGCATGTACAGTTTGCACGTACGTACATACGTGAATGGCGGTTTCTGATCGCTCTTCGTTCGATTCGACTCGCAAACTCCGAAGCGACTAGCGGCTGATTAGATTTATTACGTCAGGAACTCGTCTGTGTGGAATTCCAATCATCAAGTTTTGAAAGGTATGTTTGCTTCTTTTTGAGGAGAACAATTAAGAGGAAAGTCTTTGTTTTTATTAGGTTTTAGAGCTCTAACTCTAAGAGGCCTCAGAAGTTTGACATTAACTTACGTCAAAACCGATTATGTGGGACTGTAGTATAAATGTTCATTCATCTGCATGTAGACTGTATTGCTGTTGTGTTAATTATGATAGAACTGTCACGTCCGGTATTAGTATATTTAAGTATTATAGGGCCCCTAGGTCTACAGTTAACTTGTGGAGTTTAATGCGGATCAGTTGTACTGGTATAATGACATGACTTCTGAGACTTCATTTGAATCTGTATTTACAAATGAGGAAAGCCTTATGCCGGTAACGTGTGACCATATAGATCTAGTTTGCGCATGACTAGACAGAAATAACCATCTGATTTGGGTCATTTCTTTAATAAAACTGACATTTGTTGACATTCCCCAATACAGATGGTAACCCAGAGATCTCGTACCGTGGGGGTAGCTACAGCCAACAATGTACAGCTTTTTTGTCAAAACATTGTCTCCCCGATTTTCTTTATTTAGATCTAATTTTCTGATTTCTAAATCAGATGTAAATTAGGTCGGTATATCATTTGTCCTAATTACAGTTATCAAAATTTGATAACTTAATATTAAATGTATAATTTACGGACTTACTTATATGAATTATCCAATTTCCTCCAATTTGTATCTCCGAACTGTGAAACAGTACGTTCATGCACTCGAACATAGGGCTATATGACCCGGCGGCCAAAATATTTCCGGGTCAACCTACCAAAACATAGTCAAATGGCCAATCAGAGCACTCGTTTCGTGAGAGTTCGTTGGTCAAGCTGGGCTGACTCGTACGTAGCTACGGTATCTATTGGATGTTCGAAAAGAAAAAATGAATATTCATCAACTAAAACCAAGACGGATAATGTTGACGACGAGACTTTCTCGGATTAATCATTAATTTAGGATTTAAATGAGCAAGCTATCGTAAGTCAAATAAGCTATATATATGTTATTAAGTTATTTTTAATTTTTATTATAATTGCAGCAGTTATGAGGATGTAAAGAGTGAAAATCTCGTTGCATATCTCATTCATCGCGGTCCGATCGAACCGAACCAATTCTTTCGTACAGTCCCGTACAGTCCCGATAGGCCATACTTCAGTCTCTCTAATCGGAGGTCTAGTGGAGCCAGACGTAGTCTCAGTGGAACAACCGACGATTAGAGAGACTGAAGTTTTCGGTCTAGCGCGTGACCTTAGCACGGAAGACTTCAGCTTACAATTAGTGCATGCGCATAATATCGTTCATCCGATCTCAGCCTCATTTTCGTAAGTTGGCGCCTAGCTTCGCCGACATGGGCCCTTCAGCTTGCCTATCGCTGTTTTCCGTTCACTCAATGCTATTAAGATAGGGTCTATTTGTGCGAGGAGTGAGCTTGCGATTTTCCGGGGGTTTTTTTATACCCAAATTATGATATTTCAGTCAAACCCTCTATTTGTTATGATTTTTTCACTTAAGTATTTCACTTTAAGTTTAAGTTTTACTTAACTATTTTTAAAGTTTTAACATAAAAAATTTGTCATATTTAAGGTACAAACTGGAAATTTATTCTGAGATGTTCGTTGATTTTTCTATTTTATGTTTCGCAATGCCGTATGTGCGTCACCTGTTTTAAGCAGGACGTGTCAAAATCTCTGGTGTGACGTATTATTACGTATTGACTTTGCCATTGAAGTTGAACTTAATTTGCACTTAAGTTAGTACTCAAGTAGGCCCTCTCTCACTTAAATTTGAGTGACCTGATTAGCACAATAATACACATATATATTACCTTTTCATTGTTTACATTTTGTTTTAAAAGATTTATTCTGCATTCTCAATTTCTCATAACAGCGCAAGAAATTCACAACCCCATGGGATCCACAGATAAACCGTCGATCGTAAACCAACTTCAAGGGGAGATGGCTGAGTTGCATCATATTCAGTACAGCACAGACTTCAGCACTGATGTCAACAGGAAAATGCAGGTTCGGAAAAGATATCTTAAATTGTACTAAATCACAAAAACATAGTTGGTTTTTATGTTAGGGGTGCCTAATTTCTATCAGGGATGCCAGTTTTCAGGCAATAGCCTGAATCCAAGCCCTGGTGAGTTATTTTCAGACCATAGTTTTGGCTTATTTGTGTACAAAATAGCTCATTCTAGGTCATTTTCAGGCCCTCTGATCAATTCTAACTGACATCCCTGTTCTATACTGTAGTCAAACCTCAAATATTTTATCTACGAATTGAATCGTTGGGTCAATAGCCAGTCATTGAATTTGAAGAAGATTACAAAATCATTTTGACAGGCAAGTAATACAGGTACAGTATGAGTAATTATGGCAATTCAAATTATTTTCATTTTCAGATAATTATTGAGTGCTTTGGACAGTCAGAAATATACATTCTAAAGGCTCGTTCAGATATGGCATGGCAAAACAGAGCTCGGTGAATATGTGCAAGTCCTTTGTTGCACCTACATGTAGTTACAATTCATTTTACACTTTAAAAAAAGCATGCCTGAACAGTAAGATCACAGATGTGTGATCCGTCATCTCAAGCCAATCAAAGAAAAACAAACATATATTTTTCTTTTATTTAAACTGCATATCAACAACTTAAAATTCAATTTTTTACAATGGACCAATTATTTGGAATAACCTCTCCAACTAATCTCAAGAATAGTAAGACTGTAAAACAGTTCAAACGATTAGTTAAACAACACCTCCTGAACTATTCAATGATGAATATTTTGTTTGTTTCCTATCTTTTCTTCCTTATCAATTTTGTTTGTATTTTTAATGTTTTTGTTATGTTTTTCCTGTTATCATGCTTTTTGTTATTTTCTTACAAGGTATAATATTTTATATGTATACTTGATAAGGGTTCATTTTCAATAAGCCAATTAGTGCTGTTCAGGATCCCACCACTATTATTTACATGTATATGTATATTTGTTATTTATTTGTAAATTGTTTTTAAAGTGGAAGTAAATTTAATTTAATTTAAATTTAAATCAAAAAATGATCTGTTTTTAGATACCCTCAAGGCTGAGCATGGAACCAGAGGAACCTTTCATGGTAGACCCACCCTCACCAACACACAACTTCAACTTAAATTCAGAGAGCTTTGAGGGTAGCCCAGCACACGCCATGAATGTACCAGAAAGAATCCTTATTGCAGGTGGGTAACCATTCAATTCAGGACTTAGTGATAACATTGAGTACTAGTCACGTGGTTCCATTGTGAAAGAAACTGTATGGAGGCAATGGCTAAAGTATACTTTAAAGCTTTGGAATGATCAAAATAGAAAAGAAATTGACCCAATATCACTAAAAAGGACATGAAATGCACACGCAAATGCGTATATGGGACTCTACAAAAATGTGGCGTGCAAGTTTGGTCCAGACATTTCAGCCATTTCTCATCATGTTGGAATATGAAGGCATTTGAAGAGTAGTCCGTTTCAGGGGATATTTCTTCTGTAATACTCTACCAAGCTGACATAAAAAGAATGGGAAAATATCACAATTTTTGTTCTCACCATTCCCGGGACTAGACTTTCGCGTTAAGTCAGAAAAAATGAAGATTCTACTCAGTGTCCAGTTGAGACAAATACTTAGCCAACTACAGTATTCATTACAAGTCTTAGAGAGCATGAGAGCAGACTGTAGCCAGTTATTTGCAAGCCTTGATTGGCTGGCATAGGAGCTGGCAGTGGTTCCCATTATACTGTACATGTACAATTTTGTACATGCACTATTGTATTAGTGAAACAAAAGCAACTTTAGCTCGCAAAAATTTAGTGTGACGCATACATGTATATTATGTATATAACCTTTGGAGTATGTGTCCTCTTAGTATTGGTAAATAGTGTGGCTTAAATGTGGCTTGCTTAAGTATAAAATTTAGATGTGAACTGAAGAGCCACAGTACTGAGTCAAGCTACATGTATATTTACAGTAAATGGCAAGTAAAATATTGTCTGGACATTGGACATGGGCTCTGGCCATTTTGGTCCATGTCAATTATCCATGATTATAATTAATAATTTTAAAATATGTGATTGTGGATAGCTGATACATTTTAAATTGCCTAAACAGTAATTCATAATCGAGAATTCAAAACATTATTGGCTGCTCTCTGTTAGAAACACTCAAATTCAAATCATTTGTTTGATTGCTCTTTAGGATCTGATCAGCATGTTGGAGCAAGGCAAGCCCCCCGTAATCTTGATTTAGACGACATGCCTGCATTTCAACCAAGTAAGTGAAAACACCTAGTCAAACCCTAGCTCTTTAAATGGGGGGGGGGGGGGGGATATTTTTAAACCTCCCCCCCCCCCCCAACTGAAGGTGGTGCCAGATGCTTTATGATCATGAAAAGATTAAGTGAAAGGAGTTTGGGTTCATGAGGTCACAGTCAGTAGAGTGTCCGCCTCACAACCGGGAGGTCGTGGGTTCAAACCTGGCCGCGTCATACCAAAAGATGTTAAAAGACCGGAGTTGCTGCTACCTTGTCTGGCATTCAACAATAGGGTATAGAGCAACATTGATCTGGCGCTGCTCAGTGGCTGCCGGGCTCCCGATCAATTGGGAAAAAAGAATTTTCATTTTCGGTTTAATAAAATTTGGAGTGGAGTTTAAAAAAATTATTATTATAATTATTAAAGATCATAAGACCATTGATAAATGAACATACAGACGGAGTCATACCATTATTAGAGATGAAGTACAGTGTAACTTTCATATTTTTTCCTTCTTTTTAACAGGTAAATTTTGATAAGGATTTGAACTTAACTTGATCATATAAGCTTTTGTATTATTATCTTATCTGCCACAGCACTAATGTCCTTTGGCAAGACATTAATCTACATTTGCCATACTCTACCCAGTTGAGGTAAATGGGTACCCGGTAGGAAGCAATTCCTTGAATGCTTGAGCACCTTTTAATGGTAGCTCGGTTAAAGCTGGGCTAAAAATATGATTGCAGGGCCCTCAGGGAGAACAGTATGAATACTGATGAGGCTACCCTGGGTAAACAAGACATATTATTGTTATCATTATTATTATCTTTTCTTTCCAATGGATATTACAGTATTTGCATAATTTCCCCTCTGATTCTTTCCTTTATCCTAGGCAATAATGTTGGTTTGACAACTCCACCACGAACTATGACCCTGGATGAGATTTCTTTTCCCACCGTAGGTGATAAGTCAGCAATGAAGGCCAAGGCAGCAGCTCAAGTGGTCAGGTAATTCAATTCAATTCAAGTCATATTTATTTCATTTCCAACGGAAAGATAAACAAAGGTATTACATATATTATTACAGAAAGTATGACAAAAAACGTATGTTCATAATTCATTTTTTCTTGGTAACGTCGAATACACTTCACACATAATAAAATTATAACAAGAAAGAATTTATTTCTGACGAAATGGGGGGATCCACTAAAAAGCAGTGCTTGTAGTTTGTGGATCCCTCAAAGGTAAGGATGTCAGATGACATCATCAAGACTCGGTTCAAACACGAGTGAAAATGTGCTAAAGTTCTGTTTATTTTTGTAGTTTCTTGCTTATTGAAGTCTTCTGCATTAATTGAAAGAGCTTAACCCATTGATTTTAAAATTGGAGTGATCCTTGTATTAAGTCTATGGGAAAGGGAGAATTCAGTAGTCAACGGATTAACTATTTTTCTATGTTAATTCAGTCATGGTGAAGATACTGAGGACATGATGCAAAACTTTTAAATACCGGTACTACTTTTTGTTCGTTTTTGTGTAATTACTATTGTATTATTTCTTTATCTCTATTTTTTTGTGTGTAGGTTTTTTGCATTTTATGTAGGATCATCTACATGTACTTATAAGTTTCTGTAACTTTTTGATGATCTAACCACTTTGTAATTTACTTAATGAATTTTACAATTTATTTTCTTATCCATATTTTATAAGAAATATTTCATTGTATTCTTTGACTTTGCAAGTTTTTATGAAAGTGGTGAATGAATTCAATTCAATTCAATTCAATAAATACTAAGCACAATATGCTGCCTGTGGTCTATGGAAAATGTGTGTTACTCACTCTGTACAGAAATGACAATAAACATTCAAAAATGACATGCATACTGAAAATATTTTTTACATATTTGTGAATGATTGAAAACATTGTGATAAATTTGTTCAGCATTAATAACAATATCAATATTTTCCTATGCATCTGAAGTGAACAGAAAATATAATGTGAATTTATAAAAAAAATGTGGGATGGAAACGACCATCCTTTTTGAACTAGTACAGACTTGATATGCTGTGCATACATGTATTCATGTCCTATTTTGTTGCTTTTCAAAGGTGTTTTCTTTTATTTAGTTTTCAATCTGTTGTCATTGCAACTTTATGAAAAGTTTATTTTCGTTCCTTGTCTTCTTAAACTAGGCAATCGTCGGACCCCAACTCATCGGTCCTTCTAGCGGACAACACAGCTCTAGTAGAGGGTGTGCAAGATAGTGACTGGGATAAGTTGCAGAGGAAGATGCACCTGCTATCAAGCCGGGTCTCTTCGCTGGAAGAGGCAGGGAGGAAGCAAGAGCAACGGGAGACGATCATCATGGGAGTTGGGATTGTCTACCTTCTCTTTAGGGGTCTACGCTTCTTGTTTAGGTCGCCGTACCCATGAGGGAATCGCCACGAAAGCAATAGAACAGAATAATACATATGAAAAGAGACTTTTTAGCATGGATTGATTGATGCAACTGAAGACATATATTACAATCAGTATGATGAACCATACTGTGAGAACAGTTTACATTGGATAATGGAGGTTACTGATCTGAATTTGGGATAGTGAAGTGAAAATACCCCCTTTGGTCTATTTGGGGGATTTACTTGATAAAACGTCTGTGTATTAACAGCTACATGTGTAGGTTGTAAGGTAGCTTAGCAAACTGTGGTGGCATGGAAGACCTTTGATTTACATAGGGATGCCTCAAGTGAATAATCTTCCCTCTTTCCCATTTCTGTGATCGTTCTAACCAGGGAAAGGCATGCAATGTATGGAGTTAAAAGTCTCACTTCTGGTACATGCCTACAGTGTACCCGAGCTAGCTAGATCACTGACAGGTGAAAAATGATAGTTGATGAGGCAGCAATGAAGTTAACTAGGCACATAACATTAGGCACCAATTAAAGGAAAGAACGCTTTTAGCAGCACAATAGCTTTTCAAAATTTACCCGTTTCCGGTCTTGATTAACTCAATGACAAACCTATTAACACGGTATAATACAATATAGTTAAGTGGTGGTTATTTTACCTGACTGCTAGGAAAGCATAAATGCTTGTTATTAAGCAACCAGAGGACCGACTAAGGTCCTCTCCGAGAGACCTGGTAATGAGGATTAATGCCTTACCAAAGGGCACTAGCGCATCGCCTTGGTTTCAAACCCGGGTCACCGGATTACGAGACCACTGCTCTACTGACTGAGCTATCGTGCCTCACTCACTCATAGATCAATCTTGCACTGGAAACATTGAATAATCTTGAAGCCCTCTGTATCTATTCCATGATAAATACAATGTGACACATGGAGATTAATCTTGCGGAATCGAAAGACTTAACCCAGTTAATCTAGTTGATGTAGCCACACTCTTGTTGGATTCCTGAAGATACAGAGATCCAATATGTCCGTTGTGGACAAACTGTAACACATCCATCTATTGGCCAGATGCAGTCCTTTCTGAAAAGACCTATGAAGTTAAAAGGTCCCTCAATGCTAAGAGTCTTTATTTAAAAAACATTGTTTCATGTGCCACTTCACTTTGCTACCCTACATATATTGAAAGCTTGCCATAAATAGAGAGAGATGTATCTTCATATATGTATACCGGTAAGGGGAAGGTTTCTTTCCTCCTTTCCCATGACTAGGAGCCAATTGTATTTTTATGACTTATGCACCTTCATTTTTTTAAATTTTTTGTTTGTTGTACTATAAAGTGATCTTTTATTTCATATATTTTTAACTTGTGTGTATGTGCTATTCATGGTAAGGGCTCAGATTATCATGTTTGTGATATGCTGACTTTATAGTTGTTTCGGAATTGAAATGTAGGGAAAATTATATATGTTTTAAGTAGGAAGAAATTTAGTTCCTCACCATACTTTAACTGTTCCCATTTCTTACTCTACTATTTTTGTGATATAATTTGGATATGGAGGTTCAAATTTTCTTTTAAAGCTAAAGACCAGTTATGGTCATGCGATTGCATTGTGAAAGAAACGTTGTGAAATCGATCAGAAAAGGTTGATCATCTAGCATAGATGTACTGCAAGGTTCTGGAATCATCAAAATGATAAGAAATTTGGCCAAGTCTTCATAAAGTTAGAAGCACTGTACACAGAAAGATGTATATGGGACTACACACACGTGCGCAACACGTGCATTTCATATCTCTCAACAGGCGAGAGACTAATTTACCAAATATATCAATTAGTAGGCGGTTTCCCGTCATATTTTTTATCATCATGTAATATTCAAAACATATTCTTTCACATGATTGGTAATAAGAGCTTCCATTTCATTTTTTGAAATTGGGGTGTTTCCAATACTGGTCTTTACCATTAATGGATGCCGAGTTCGATCCCAGATAAAGGAAAGGCTAATGTTAATCTACCAGATTCATTACTTTCAGAAGTGTGTGGTGTGGTGTGGTATTATTTGCCCAACATTACACTACCTATCTCACATCATGGTATTAAAGTGTACAGTGTCATGTAATATCCAATCTAGTCCAAGCCCCAAAGTATTTGGTGTAACTCATATTCCTTGCAATTACAATGTGTTGATGTTCATGGTAATGTGGCCTGATGTCTTGGTGCATATTAGTCTGGCGGTATCTTCATGCTATAAGCAGCACTCGATCATAGCTATAGAAAAAGGATATAATTGAAATAGATACAGATATTTGATTTACATGTGTATTTATAATACAGCTGTACACAATATTCATAGATCATAATACTTTGTGCTTTATCTTTGTCAGCTCCATGTATGAGATGATATTTTTTCTCCTTTTTTTGTTTTAACTTGTTATGTTTCTTTTGTCTTTATTTGGCAAAAACGAATCATGCATATTTATACCACAGATGATAAATTAAGGAAAGGTCATTGTTTCTCTGTAAAGAGGTCGTTTTATATGTGCTTTTTTTACAGGACATGTACAGTGTAAATGTGGAGTTAATCTTAAACTTATGTACAGGAGGTGAAAGAGGACAATCCTATTATGAATTTGAAGAATACTGAAACATACTGAAAATTTATCTCTTAAAAGCAAACTACTGTTGGATAGACCTTGCTGGTAAATGGCCTTCTGAATAAGCCAGTTCATAAATAGCTTTGGAATGTATGACCCCAAAATATCCACAAATCTTTTACACAATGGATATGTGATACGTCCCCCTTTTACATTTTAGAATAATCACTCCTTAAGTGATTGAGGTGCTTCATGAATACCTTTGGTTTGCCTCTTGACAAGAATACTTCCACCTGTGTATCAGATAAATGTTTTGTTGGTGCATAAATGAATGCTGATTACATAACTTTCATGAGCACGTTACCAGTATTCATCTTGACAGGTTTTAAAAGTTGGGAAGGAATGACCTTTATCTGCCCGTGGGCAGATCGTATTTATGAACTGGCTTATTATGAAATACCAAGTGTTGACATTTCCCCTTCATTCAAAGTTCTGTAACTCTGCAAAAAAATGTCAATTGAAGTTGATTAAAACATGAAATTGATTAAAACATGAAATGTGAATGATGTCTTGATTATGATGACAATATTTTCATGTAGTTTCTTAGGTACAGAATAATGGTAATGTATTGACACTTTGTGCTTCATAAATATGCATACTAAAATCAATCTATTTAATTGAGGGTTAAACCTGACTTAAGTCAGAGAATGTTTTTATTCTTCCCTTCTTTAAAGCAACTTTTATCGTGAGTGGATTGTTAAATATATGTGCAATGGACTATTGAAAAAGACTAGATAGGACAATATTTTCACTATGTTTCCTTTTTTTCATCATGGCCAACTTTGATAAACACGTGTAATAGAATATACATACATTACACTTGTGAAATTTGTATTGGCCAAAACTCTATTGTGCATTTTTTTTGTACTGGGTGATCATATGTTAATTTTATTATGGTCGATGATAATTGTTTTTAAAGATAAATCTCCATGTTCAAATAATAAATAAAATTCTTTATCCTGTACATAAGTCCAGAAATTCTTTCTCTTTTGTTCTGTAATATTGAAGTAGAAAGTACGATGATAAAGTGGTTAATACATTATTGCTATGTCTCTATTTCTATGTGTACTCGAGAGGATTGTCTTTTAGTAAAGGTTTCCACAAGTATTGAAGATATGCAAGCCATTTGTGAATTTTAATTACTCTTCATGCATGCTTAATTTTAGTTCAATTCTAGAGCAAAGATACAGAAATTTGAATCGTTGCCCTGTGGCAGGAGAAGTACTTCGTGGACAGGTAAAAATAACATCACTTTTTTTTTGTATTTAGAAAGCAAAACGTTTCCATTTCGAACTGAGTTTAATGATCTTCCTATTCTGTTTCGATAATAAACGGTAAATGCTTACAGAAAATCAATGTTTTTACATTTAGTACAATGTGATCAAGTAATCTATATTATTATTGAGTGATGATTTTCATCAGAGCGACAAAGTACTGGTCGTCGTATTTTAAGAACAATCTCTTTGGTAGCTAAGTTATTTAAATAATGTGATATCAAAATACAACGAGAAAATACATTGTAACACGATCACAAAAACAAGCGAAAAAATCAACTTGAGGCAATTTCAGTAGCCTTGTCTATTGATTCTGGGACAATTACTACCCCCTGAGCAATCACCCCCGGCCAATTACCAGCGGGACAATTACCCCCCCCCCCAAAAAAAAAAAAAAAAAAAAAAAATTACCCCCTGAGGACAACCGCCCCCTAAAAATTACCCCTTGGACAATCGCCCCCCCCCTAAAAACCTGCTAATATTAAAAACCAACTTGTTGTCAGGGTGGGCTTCCCCTTTAATGAACTGGGGGGGGGGGGAGGGGTGTATTTGTCCTATATAGGGGGGAAATAGTTGTGGGGGGGGTATTTTCCAGAGGGTTATTGTGCTAGGGGGGAGGGGTAATTATGATAAACTGTCCATCACCTATATAAATCTGTGAATTACAATGTAATGTGATTATACAGCATGGTATGGAAATTAAGCTTGAATGAGTTGATTTTTCAAAAGTGTTTGTGATAATCGTATTTGGGCATATTATTATATGTATATAAAATGTTTAGAAATGCTGGCAGTCCTCTGAAATAGATACTTGGTTACTCTATATATGTTCATTATATTAGAGTAACACTCAGAAATTAAATGGCGTGTTCTCGCTTTCTTCATATTCAGTTTGCATGTGGTGTTTCCTTCCATATGTCAGTATGTATGTCATGTTTCTTGTGTTTCTCTTAGGAGTTTTAAATCAGAACATGTGGAACACATATAGTGTATCGCTCATACCATTGATTACTGAAACACAATGATATTGACACACAAGAGTCTACAGTTTTGGATTTCCAAAGTGAAAAACCTTTTCTAATGTCGAATCATCATGTTATGAACAGTAATTGAACAAATGTCATAAAGCATACTCCATAATAAAGTAACACCATAATAAAGTAACACCCTTCAGTATGGCAGTTGTGTAGACTTCAGTTTAAATCCAGTTATATATTTAATACATATATAACTGTCAAAACATCAGTTTTTGAACAAGGAGTATCCTGCAGTTTTGCTAAACTACATCCCCCACATCATTATAGATCGAATTCCGAATGTGCATTATGAGGTATAATATACTTAGGCCTACATGACTGAATGTTTGTCAGTGTATTTGTTGTTAGTGCATAATTGCAGCTGTACGTATTGCATCTCATGTTGTTTAGTCACTTTTTGGGCCTACGTTTAATATGAATAGATATCCGGTGGGTTTAAAGTCCACAATATTGTATTTTTAGTACAGCTACCTATAATTATGTAAGTACCGCATGTATTCAATTTGTAAGCAAGTAGGTTCGATTCAAATCCGATCGGCTCAATGAGCTACAAAAGAGCAACGGAGAAAGCGAGAAATATAAGATATCGATCGGGTGTCGTGATAGTAATTCATACACTTGACTCTCAATCTAATTGTTGAGGTTTCGAATCCCATCGCGGTACTAATGTCATTTGGCATGACATTATTCCTTATTTGCCTCTCTCCACCAAAAAGTGGTACCTGGCCATTGATGGGGTAATATTAAATAAATATAATATATCTTGCTGAGGAGGCTTCCATAAACACAATTAATATTGTCACGCAGTTTGGTTAAGATATTGGATGTAATATTATGTATATATTTTATTCAATGCTTTAGTCTACTTTACAACTATCCATGATTATTGTACTAGTATATGTTAAGGATGTCTTGCTATAATTACGCTATTACAAATCCAGCCAGCTCGATCCCAATTGCTTTGCATACAGCGGAGTTCTATTCTCTCCTCACTTTGACCTTGCATTCACTTTCAGAACTTTCACTCTGTCCCTTCTCACTTTGACTTTGCCTGACTTTCAGAACTTTCACTCTGTCCCTTCTCACTTTGACTTTGCCTGACTTTCAGAGCTCTCGCTCTTTCCCTTCTCTCTTGTTTGCCCGAAACTCTCATTTCAACCTTGCACTGTCCTTCAGCCCTTTCAGCTTGCTTCTTGTCTTGACTTTCTCCTGTCCTTGTATCCTCTCTCTCAATATGACTTTGAGCTCTCTATTTATGTGCTCAATATGACTTTGAGCTCTCTATTTATGTGCTCAATGACGCCCTTCTCCTAAATACTCCGCAGCGCGATACTTGTGACCTACATGACTGGTCTTTCTCCATCTCTCTCGAAGGGTATATAAGACAGACTGCATTCGTATCTTAGGCAGTTAGGAGCGGAGAATCTGTCAGTGAAGAGTGAAACTAGGGAGCTGTCGAGAGTTAATTGTGTCAGTTAGTGTGACAAGCCTGTCATCACAGTGTTTGAAGCGAGAGTACTTTACGAATGGGATAGAGAGCAACCTGTTCAGAAATGGTCTCCAGTCATGTTAGTCTATCTTTTTAGCCTGTTCTAACGCCTGCTGCATTATTTTTGCCTCTCTGATTCGCAAGACATTCTCTTTTATCCATCCTTGTAAATGTGTTTGGGTTTGCTGTAATAAACTCTTCAACGGTAATTCCTGCCTCTCGAGTGTTTATTCTCCCTGAATCTCGGCCATCCCTAACAACTAAACTTCAACATATAACGGGGCTAATATATTTTGGGACTTTTACTTCCTATATTGTCAAACAATATAAGTCGCCGTTACACTGGTGTCAGAAGTGGGATACAGACTTTAACACGTGCTTTAAATACGATACAATGTCTCCGAGGAAGCGAAAAGCCGATCTTGAGAGAGAGATCAGGGAGTTAAAGGCAGAACTCAGCATCGCCAAGAAACAAATCGGCGAGCCGAATGATATCGACAATGACAATGATGCTAGTGAAAATACTGAATGGAGAGATGAAAATGAGGTGTCCATTCACACTGGAGTGAAAGTCCAATTACCACCCCAAGAGCCGTATAATGGTACAGGACGATCATGGGAGAGTTTTGTATCGTCTTTCAGAAACCTCGCGGCTACTTGTGGCTGGGAGGAGTCGGAGCAGCGTGTTCGTCTTCTTGCCTGTCTCCGAGGTGATGCAGCCGATTTTGTCTTCCAGCAGCTCGCCCCAGACGACATCGCTGACTTCGGGAATTTGATATCTGCGCTCGAGCATCGTTTTGCTGCACGAAAGACGCCTTCTACGTTTGTGTCGCAGCTAGAATTACGTCGTCTTGGTCAGAGGGAATCAATTGCCGACTATGCTGCAGATATTCGCCGCCTTACGACATTTGGCTACCCGACGGCGGATGCTGCAACAAGGGAGATGATCGGGACCCGCCATTTTCTTCGAGGGCTTGGTGATAGCTCTATGGCTATGGCTATAGGGATGCGAGAGCCGGCGACTCTCCAAGAAGCTCGGGAGATTGCTGAGCGATTTCACCATCTCCAAGAGGAATCCGGCAGAGGAGCTCGACAAATCCGATCGGTGTCAGCGACGTCAGAGGACGCGGTGACCAATGAAAAGTATATTGAGTTAAGGCGCCGCATCATCTCCATTGATGAGCGAATCGAACAACTAACTAAACTTTTTCAGCAGCCGCCACGAGATGATCCAGAACGACCAGTTAGACAGCCGAGAGAACAGCAAACTCGTGATCGACCACCACCTCGTTGCTATAATTGTCAGAAGCTTGGTCATCTTGCCCGTAACTGTCGTGTACCACCCCAAAATGGTGGCCAAATTCCTGTACCCCAGTATGTTAGCAGTCGACCGAACTGGGTGCCGCAGCAACCGCCACCACCTCCACAATGGCAGCAACCTCTTCCTTTTCAGCCGCAACCGCCGCAGCAACAATTCCCACCACCCCGGCAATGGCAGCCACACGTACCATTCCAGCCGCAACCACCGCAGCAACAACGGGCAGCAGAACCAGCCATGGACAATACTTCGGGAAACTAAACAGGGCCGACCTCATCGACCAGGTCGAGGCCGGCCATGGAGTTAAATCGGGCCCTAGAATAATTCGCATTGATGAATCGAACGGACTAACAGCGTATATCACAGGAAATGTGAATGGGGCCTCGTGCAAACTTTTGGTCGATTCTGGGGCAGCAGTGACAGTTATGTCGATACAACTGTATGAACAAATGCCCACCGAAACTCGCCCAAAATTAATCCCCTTGTCGGATCATGTTCAGCTCCAGTCAGCGGATAAAGGAATTCTAAATGTACATGGAATTATTGGAGCAACTGTGAATGTTGGTTCTAAAGATTTTGAATGGAATGCATACATTGCAGATATAAGTGATGAAGGTCTGATTGGTTTTGATTTTATGCACCATTTTAATTGTACCCTCGAGGCCAGACGTGGGCTTCATATTGATAATATTTTGATTCCAATCGAACTTCAGGACTGTAATTCTATTAGAAGTGCAGTTTATGTGAAATATGATGTTGTGGTGCCGCCCAGATGTGAGTTCATTGTACCAGGGAAGATAGACAATTGTGATATTGATTCCCAAGCATGTGCTATTATTGAGCAAACCGCTCATGAGTGGAATATAAAGAATCTTCATGTCGCGGGATGTCTCATCGATGTAACTCGGAATGATATTGACATACCAGTGCGAGTCGTTAACACATCAAGTGAAGAAATTAATCTTCACGCTGGAATGCGAATAGGTTCAATGGAATTAATCAGTGATGTATGTGATATGTGTAACAATGATGTAGTCAAGAGTTCAAACCCCAGCATTCGAACAGTAAAGGCTGATTCGAGTAAAGAGGTTTCGCAAAAGAGCTGGCCAGATGACTTACAGACATTATATCAGAAATCATGTGAAGGATTAGATCCGCATACACGGGATCAGTTATTTGCCTTGCTGGATAAACATTCATCTACAATTGCATCTTCTTCTACTGATATTGGACGAACCTCCATTGTTCAGCACAGCATTGACACTGGAGATGCAGCTCCAATCAAGCAGCGACCTCGTCGCCCACCTCGAGCATTCATAGATGAGGAGGAGAAAATAATCGAGACACAACTGCAAATGGGCATCATTCGGGAATCAACGAGTGCTTGGTCGAGCCCGCTTGTGTATGTCAAGAAGCGTGACGGCACGACCCGGCCCTGCGTTGACTACCGAAAACTAAATGACGTCACAAGAAAGGATGCCTATCCACTACCTCGCATAGAAGACTGCCTAGATTGCTTAGGAGGTGCACAAATCTTCTCAACTTTAGACTTACAGTCAGGTTACTGGCAGATAGACATTAAAGAGGAGGATCGTCACAAAACAGCATTTAGTACACGGACTGGACACTACGAATATGTCACGATGCCATTTGGACTATGCAATGCTCCTGGCACATTCGAGCGTGCAATGGAACTCATCATGAAAGGCCTTCAGTGGCGAACCTTGATTTTATATCTTGACGACATCATTGTTATGAGCTCGACTATTGGGGAGCACATCAACCGTCTCGACGAGGTTCTCGGGCGCCTTGGACAAGCAGGACTTAAGCTAAAGCCAAGTAAGTGTCATCTCTTCCAAACTGAAGTATCTTACCTTGGACATGTTGTTAGCGCGGCTGGCATCAGGCCTGACCCGGGAAAAGTTGAACAAGTGCGGAACTGGCCGACACCGACATCGATAAGCGATGTCCGTTCTTTCCTTGGTTTGTGCTCCTACTATCGCCGGTTCATCCGTGGATTTTCGACAATTGCGGCTCCTTTGAACAGGCTACTTGAAAAATCTAGTAAATTCGAGTGGAATGACGACTGTAAATCAGCCTTGGAACAATTGAAAAACGTACTGGTTAGCGACAACGTCATGGCCTACCCCGATGACCACGGCATGTTTATTCTTGATGCCGACGCATCTTCTTCGGGAATAGGCGCGGTCTTATCTCAAATCCAGTGGGATGACGTCACCCAACGAGAAGTTGAGAGACCAGTCGCTTTTGCTAGCCGGACATTGACCAAAACTCAACGCCGATATTGCACTACACGACGGGAATTGTTGGCAATCGTCTCGTTTGTTCGTCATTTTCGACATTACCTACTTGGGAGGAAATTTCTTGTGCGCACAGATCATTCTTCCCTTAGATGGATTATGTCATTTCGCGAACCTACAGATCAGCTTGCCCGGTGGATCGAGATTCTCAGCCAGTTCGACTTTGACATCGAACATCGTGCTGGCAGGAATCATGGTAATGCAGACGCAATGTCTCGAATACCATGTGATCCAGAATCATGTGACTGTTATGACAAAGAATCTATCATTGAACAATTGCCATGCGGTGGATGTACAACATGTGTGAAGCGGCACAAGGCCTGGTCACAGTTCTTCGACGAGGACGACGATGTTGTTCCCGTTACCCATATGAGAGTGCAGCAAACACGCTTGAAATCAGTAAGTGACTACAGCGACCAGACGCCGCCATTGAAACCAGAGGACTCGAGCCATTCAAGTCGACTCTCTAATATCGTCACCATGATATTAGTCGTAGTCGTATTCGTGGTTAAGATGTTTTGTCGACTTCCGAGGATTGTTTTGGATTTTATCTTATATATTGTTGTTTTAGAGCTTAGAGGATTACGTTATGTGAGAGATGGATTTGATGTAATGAAGAGAGGGAATTGGCCATCCCCATTTAGAGTTTCAGTAGTGAGAAATGCGTCGACATCGAGAATGAAGTCGAGAACTAAACATTCATCGGTTAATGTCAGAGCGAATGATAACCTGCCCTGCGCCTCGGACACAGGTGCCATCGCTGGAGGAAACTCTGGGCAGCGGGAAGTCCTGCGTGATAATTTTGACCAAGAAACTTTGTTGACAATGCAACGTGACGACCCCGACGTCGGCATAATCTACAAATGGATTTCGGAGTCTCCTGAAAGACCTAATCGAGCCTTAGTTCATGACAAAAGCCCAATCGTCAGGAATTTATGGCTCTTATGGACTCAGCTTGAATTGATTGACGGTGTTCTATACAAACGGCATGTCACTAATCATAAATTAACTACTACTATACAACTCGTCGTCCCCTTCACACTGCGTGATCAGATCTTGGAGTCTAATCACAAGTCTGTGCTATCAGGGCATCTCGGGGTAAAAAAAACTTTCAGCAGAATCCAACAACGATTTTATTGGTTGAATATGAGAGAATCTGTAAAACTTTATATTGGTAATTGTGTAACATGTGGTGCCCGCAAGCGTCCGACATCTAAACCGAAGGGGCCTCTTGGTAAATATAACTCGGGATTTCCTATGGATCGTGTCGCTCTCGATATCATGGGTCCATTTCCCATCAGTAACCAAGGTAACCGTTATGTTTTGGTAGTGGGAGATGTATTTACCAAATGGATCGAGGCCTATGGGATTCCTGATCAAACAGCTCGTACTGTCGCCAACATCGTGGTGAATGAATTTATCGCTAGATGGGGCATACCGTTGGAAATACATTCAGACCAAGGCAAAACATTTGAATCACAACTTTTCCAGCACGTTTGCCAGCTACTGGAAATAACGAAAACAAGGACTACACCATACCACCCGTCATCCAACGGTATGATTGAACGATTTAATCAAACACTTGTTAATATGATGTCTGCTTATGTTGACAAAAAGCAGGAGAACTGGGACTTAAATTTGTCGCTCTTGACATCAGCCTATCGAAGCACTATTCATGAGACTACTGGATTTTCACCAAATTTTCTCATGTTAGGGCGTGAGGTTAGAACCCCAATTGAAATAGCACTTGGTGTAGACAAGCCAGACATCAATGACCAGGACTATCATGAATACGCCGCCAACATCGTCTCAACGATGAAGGAAGCATACAACTTAACCCGTGAGCATCTGGCCTCACAAACTCAGAGACAGAAGAGAGATTATGATGCGAGACTATCAGTAAACACCTACAGACCAGGGGATTTAGTCTACTATTTAGACACAACTAGAAAGAAGGGGCTTTCCCCAAAACTGAAGTCTGCTTTCTGGGTTGGTCCATGTGTGGTGACCAGAAAAATGAGTGACTTAGTGTTTGAGATTAAAGCGCAACAACAGGGAAAAGTCAAAGTCCTCCATCATGATCGTCTTAAACCCTTCAAATCTAATGACATTCCACAATGGGTAAAGGAACTATCTAAGAAAGTTCGTAATAATGTTTCTTTTTCTAATACTTGTACTACTGGTACCCATACTAGCCAGAAAGACACTTTCTCCCCTCGCCGCTCTTCGCGAAGATCTATAGCCCCTGACAGATTTGTATACTAAATTACCATAGATGACATACTCCAGGCATGAACTTGTTGATTCCGTCTAAATGCCTTGTGAAATATTTCTTTTTGCGGACATTGAGTGCCTTAACTTATATCGGAGGACTTGTTTAGGACGAACTGTCAGTTTTATATTTAATGGAACTATGAGAGTTCTATATTGATTACCATGCGTACTGTCTATAATTATTTGGATCTAATTATTTTTGTCTCTTCAATTGTCATATTTTTCGTACATTGCCATTGCCTGTTTTCTACTGTACTTTCCGTTTCTTCTATCTAACCTCCCTACCTATCTCTCTGTGCCTATCTCTCTGTCTTTTTCTCTTATCATCTATTCGAAAATGATGGGACTGTGTTTACTCTTAGTACTCTTTCAGATGTTATGCTATTTTCAATGTTTTACACCATTTGCTATTTAATTTCTGCCACATTACATAGGGTGTGCCCTAACTTTTGTATCTACTTGCGGGAAAATGTACTACTCGAAGTTTTCGGTATGTTTTAAGTTCCTTCACATTATCATGAAATTATACTGCTTGTCGCAAATTCGCTGTTCTTACCTTTCTTAATTGGTTACATCCTGCTACAATGTTTTTGTTTTGTTGCGCCATATAGCGCACGATGTACTCATTTATTTGTTATGTATGCATTTTTAATAGTCAGATTAGGTCAGATAGTATTTTGTATCTTCGTTTATCTTTAATTCATTATACATGTGTACCTGCAACTGTTAATATATGAGTAAAGGTCACATTCCTTTGTTTTGTAAGTCTTCTTTTTTTTGGGTAATGTATATACATCTTCTTAGAGGCTCAGGCCATTGGCTTAATTATTTTGCCTGTTTATTCCATGCTATCTTTGCATTGTTACGGTAGGGAACAAACTTGAACTTGTTGGTTGTGTACATTAGGCTCCTTTTGACAATCAACGCTCCCTCTCTTTTCCTGATTCTTTCTCTCTCTCTCTCTCCCTTTTCTCTCTCTCCCTCTATCTCTTTCTCTCTTGTCTCTTTCGCTGTCATCACCTTGCCTTCTCTTCTCTCTCCATTCTTTTAGTCTCTCTTTGGTTTCCATTCCCCATGACTTGTATGTTGTACTATAGATGTAAAGTTATGCTTTTGTATCATTGCGTCTGTTGCTAGAATTCGACTATAAGGACATTTGTATTTATCCTACATTATTTTGACTATACTGGTGCATGTTGCGTATTCGTTTTTAGATATTTGCTTTATTTATCATAATTTTACTGTTGCTTTTGCTTTTCTTTCCTATCCCTTTCTTAGCCTTCTCTTCTGTTCTTCTTGCTACTTTCCCTTCATTCTCCTTTTCATCGCTGGGGACAGCGATATCTTTCGTAGGGGGGGAATAGTGTCACGCAGTTTGGTTAAGATATTGGATGTAATATTATGTATATATTTTATTCAATGCTTTAGTCTACTTTACAACTATCCATGATTATTGTACTAGTATATGTTAAGGATGTCTTGCTATAATTACGCTATTACAAATCCAGCCAGCTCGATCCCAATTGCTTTGCATACAGCGGAGTTCTATTCTCTCCTCACTTTGACCTTGCATTCACTTTCAGAACTTTCACTCTGTCCCTTCTCACTTTGACTTTGCCTGACTTTCAGAACTTTCACTCTGTCCCTTCTCACTTTGACTTTGCCTGACTTTCAGAGCTCTCGCTCTTTCCCTTCTCTCTTGTTTGCCCGAAACTCTCATTTCAACCTTGCACTGTCCTTCAGCCCTTTCAGCTTGCTTCTTGTCTTGACTTTCTCCTGTCCTTGTATCCTCTCTCTCAATATGACTTTGAGCTCTCTATTTATGTGCTCAATATGACTTTGAGCTCTCTATTTATGTGCTCAATGACGCCCTTCTCCTAAATACTCCGCAGCGCGATACTTGTGACCTACATGACTGGTCTTTCTCCATCTCTCTCGAAGGGTATATAAGCTTCAGCCCTTTCAGCTTGCTTCTTGTCTTGACTTTCTCCTGTCCTTGTATCCTCTCTCTCAATATGACTTTGAGCTCTCTATTTATGTGCTCAATATGACTTTGAGCTCTCTATTTATGTGCTCAATGACGCCCTTCTCCTAAATACTCCGCAGCGCGATACTTGTGACCTACATGACTGGTCTTTCTCCATCTCTCTCGAAGGGTATATAAGACAGACTGCATTCGTATCTTAGGCAGTTAGGAGCGGAGAATCTGTCAGTGAAGAGTGAAACTAGGGAGCTGTCGAGAGTTAATTGTGTCAGTTAGTGTGACAAGCCTGTCATCACAGTGTTTGAAGCGAGAGTACTTTACGAATGGGATAGAGAGCAACCTGTTCAGAAATGGTCTCCAGTCATGTTAGTCTATCTTTTTAGCCTGTTCTAACGCCTGCTGCATTATTTTTGCCTCTCTGATTCGCAAGACATTCTCTTTTATCCATCCTTGTAAATGTGTTTGGGTTTGCTGTAATAAACTCTTCAACGGTAATTCCTGCCTCTCGAGTGTTTATTCTCCCTGAATCTCGGCCATCCCTAACAACTAAACTTCAACATATAACGGGGCTAATATATTTTGGGACTTTTACTTCCTATATTGTCAAACAATATAAGTCGCCGTTACAATATTATAGTAATGGAGAGGGGAGGGAGAACAGTCGGGTTAGAGACAGGTGGACGGGGAGGGGCATGGAAATGGGAATCTTCTAGAAAGGGGTAGTGGTTAAATTTAATACAAATCTATGGCACTAAAAGCAAGAGAAGACAATTAATCATTATCGCTGTCAATGGAGTGGGCTATAGGGCTATCCGAATCGATAGGAGGCATTAGGAACCTACCCCCAATTAATGGTACTCAATACCAACCAGGGAGATAAACTCACATCTCCCTGTACCAACCATCCAATCGCTGCATTATTTTGAGATGAGCCAAAACCAAGGTTCAGATAAATAACGTGAAGATGTTTCACTGAGGTGATAGCAGACTATCAAGAGCTGCCTTCGTCGGCACTACATTCCCTTTATGTATAGAAGGCAATACAAGGTAGGCCTACCAACTTGGAATTCAACTGGGAAAAAAAGTTTTTGACCCGTCATCTTTTGGCAGTGATAGGCGCTTAAAGGGAAATAACAAACCGTGCAATATCATTGTTCACTGACGGTAGACAAAATATTTCGTCATAATACAAATTTCCCCTGTAGCGCCGCAATAATACAAATACATCGTTTTTTATTTGTCATGGGAAGTTCAAGGATTTTCCGTTTGTTTATGAGCAGTGGGACATGAGCTCCTAGGGCCTGATCCCTGGATGCGAGATTAGATTGCGTGTACCCTCGACAAAAAACAGCTTTAATCTAGCTGAAGTGGCGTTCCAAGCGGAATATGCAAGCAAAGTTCTCCATTGTAGCAAATATATCAAACTGAGAGTTGCAAAGCGACTTTAAGCGTGTATATTGATCGAGTTAAGAACTGGATTCGGATGATGGAATTGGGACTTTTGAAAGTTGAAAGATTGAGAGACGGCTTGATATGCTTTGCTGTCTTCCTTTTCGCGAAATGGCTTCTGGGGTCCACGGCTCGGAAGTCGAAGCTTCCGCTGCCTCCTTCGCCTCCGGGTCTTCCGATGATCGGCCATCTCCTGATGTTCCGCCGAGACTTTCGCGAAGTGTTCCGAGGACTGAAGGAAAAATACGGCAGCGTCTTCTCGATCTGTGTAGGGCCCCAGACGATTGTGGTGATGTGCGAGATTGATGTAGTGAAAGAAGCTTTAGTATCTCAAGCCGAGGCATTCTCAGACCGGCATATGCCTCCTTTGCTCAAACACGGTCTTGGCTCCGCCGGTAAGGTATACTTGGGTAATGCAGTGCAGTGATTTATCGTCAAGTTGGGATAGTTGCCCGGGTGGTAGTTGTCCTAGATGATGGTTGTTGTAGGGGCTAGTTGTCCTAGGGGCTAGTTGTCTTGGGGGCAGTTGTCCGGGGGGTAGTTGCCCCCGTGGGGTAGTCGTCGTCCTACAGGGTGGTTGTCCTAGGGGTAGTTGTCCTAGGGGGTAGTTATTCTAGGAAGTAGTTGACTGGGGGGTGGTTATCCGGATGGGGATGTCCAGGGCCAGTTAGGAGATTAAGGAATCGATCAGATCAATTTTCCCCATTTGTAATCATTAATAATGGTTTTCACTCAAACTTTCAGATTATCTTTTATTGTTCATCTAGCACTGAAGCCCTTATACCTTAGCAATATTTTATCTCACCTGTACGATGTTACCGAGTCCTCTTAAAGGTACTTAATAAATGAAAAGGTTAAATTCCACCGGCATTTGAAAGATAATACTTATTTAGAACTTCTCAAAAACGAAAGTGCTTGAGAAAGATTTTTGTAGGAAAATAGAGACCGTTGGTTGTCGAATCGACTGTACAGTAGGGATTGCAATCATTTTAGTTAATAGTCTGATTTTTAGACCATGGTGTACGTTTTGTACTGCGCAGATATTCGATCAGTTACAAGAAGTGGAATATTGATGTAGACAAATGCTCATGTACCCTTTAGTCCTTTACAGCTAATTGTATGTATGTTATTACTTACAAATAAATGAAGTCAGTCAGTCACTCGATAGTGTCTGACAGTGAAGTCTAAAAAGTATATGAGTTTCCTTGCAAGTTTTAATTTGAATACTATAGGAAACTAATAACATTTAAATTTCACATAAAGGGCATACGCGATATATTCATAATTCTTGCAATGTTCTACAGAATTTGATTTTGGTTGCAAATGGGACATACCTTTATAACAGAATTTGCCTGTAGGCTATATGCCTACACTTTCAAATGGATGCAAGACTTTAGCATCTGTTCTAATTACACATATTTCGATCCAAATTTCAGGTAGTTTTGCGTTTGATAACGGGCCTGTGTGGAAGGCCCGCCGCCGCTTTGGCCTGAGTGCGATGAGGACTTTCGGTGTTGGAAAGTACAGCATGGAACAACGGATCGTAGAAGAGGCGAAAATGCTTTGTGAGACCATCGAGAATAACCAAGAAACCAGTTTCAATCCCAAAGGACTTATCACCCACTCAGTATCCAGCATCATCTGTGGCATAACTTTTGGACAAAGGTAAGGATTGCCTCCAGACGCGCCCTTTGCGGTTGATGTGCGTGTGTATGTGTGTGTGTTTGTGTGTGAGGGCGTGTGCGTGCGTGTATGTGTACACACAATTGATATCCGATATTAAGTCCACGTGTTGGCATACGATGACGCGAAAAACGATGAAGAAGAGAAGTTTCATGCTTAAAATCCTACAGTTTTTATTAGGTCACGAATTGGTATACGTTTTAATCAAGAGATTATGACAAATATTAAGAATAATGATCCTTTAAGGTTTTGCTCTTTGAAAATAATGTGCAAATAATGTAAAAGAAAGTCAACAATGTGCATTACCTTGGAAACGCATAGTAACCAGGTGCAAATCTTACAAAATGCTACAATTATATACACTGTTGCTCATAAAGTTGAATTTTTTTCTTACCCCAATTTATGGAATTACTTTGACAATGATTTATTCCTAATAGATTTAGATAATAGTATACATTCTCAGATTTTATTGAATAATAATAGTATACATTCTCAGATTTTATTGAATAATAATTTGCCAGTGTTTGTTTTGCGTGACTGCTAAAGTGTATACCACTATGCTTATCAAGATAATACACTTTCGTACGAAATGACACCTGGAAAATGAAATGGGTGTTACGTCATCGGAAATGAAATCGTATTAAATATTATACGAATAATGAATGTTTATGAGTTCAATAGAACGTTAATCTTTCAACGAATGAAAAACTTCGCACTTTTGAACGGATGAAAAACAATCATTATTTATTTTATATAACATCTAACTAAAAGGCACGCTTAATAGAACAAAAATGCACGGCGAATATAACTTAGATTATTGAATATATCATTTGACAAACAATCCTCTAATCAAATAACAGGGATCTACTTAGAGGTGTTATTTATATGATATAATATAACATTATTTGTAACGCTAGAGTTATATTTACCCGTGGGTGCTGCTTTTTCCGAAGTGCGCAGCGCTAAGAAAAATTATCATCACTCGGGGAAATATTTGCCCTTTTCCCCTCTGTACAGAACAGCAGACCAGCAAGGTGGGCCATACTCACCTGTTTTGCTCCACGAAAAGGGTTTTATAAAAACGCGCGGTGTCTCAACTCATCGCGCGATCCCCAAAACAACCATCAGGGTATGTACAGAATGAGAGGCAAGGACTACTGTTACCGGTTCAGCGTTGAGGGTGCGTTATTGCAGGCGCGGATCCAGGGGGGGGGGCCGAGCGGGCCTTGGCCCCCGCCCCCCCCCCCCGCAAAAAAAAAAAAAAAAAGAGAGAAGAAAGGAAAAAAAGGGAAAGAGAAAGAAGAGAGAAAGGGAAAGAAAGAAGAGGAAGAACAAAAGAAAAGGGGGAAGAAGGAGATCGGGGGGGGGGGGGAGGCGAAAGGGCCTTGCCTCCCAGGCTGTTGACCCCCCCCCCCCCTCCCAATACAAAAAATAAGAGAGAAGGAAGGAAAGGGAAAGAAAAAAGGAAAAGAGGAGATACTGGCGTACTGATAGGGGGGGGGGCTTGGGGAAAATTAAATTCAAACGTAGTTTATTTCTAATTCCACAACGGTGGATTACAAATAATACTGAAATGACATAATTTCCGAGATTTTTCCTCACTTTTTAGTAGATTCCTACATGTCAGGGCCCGAGGTACGGCGGGGATCGGGAGCCATGAGCCCCCCCCCCCCCTACTTTTTTGAAAAAGTATATTATAGAGAAATAAAATAGAATGAGAGCAAGAAAGAAAGAATAGTTAACTGCCAGTGTTAAAAAATAATGAGGCATCAAAATATGCTCATCTGACCTTGATTAATGCCTAAAACCCCTGAGATTCCGGGGGTTCTACCCCCTGGATTCCACCTAGGGCCCTACAGCGGGCCCTTAGATGCTCATCTGACGGTAATTTGATGCCTAAAACCCCTGATTTTTGGGGGCTCCGCCCCCTGGACCCCACGCCAAATAGTGACCTGCCAGTCTCACAAAATAATAAGGTATACAAAAAAATGTTCATCTGACCTTAATTAAACGCCTAAAACCCCTGAGCTTCCGGGGCCGGCTCCGCCGCCTCGACCCCACCAGGGGCCCTAAGACGGGCCCCTGATTCAGACAAGGATTAAGAGTATAGAGAACGATACAACGCATCGTCTTCTTTCTCTAATAATTTAATGAAACGTCAAAGCTTCGAGCAGGAGGGGAGGGGGGGGGGACTGAATTCAGACAAGGATTAAGAGTCAAGAACTGTACAGCCAATCGTCTTCTTTCTCTAATGATTTAATGAATCGTAAAAGCTTCCACGCTTCGCGCGAAAGGGGGAAAACTGAATTCAGACGAGGATTAAGAGTCAAGAACTGTACAGCCAATCGTCTTCTTTCTCTCATAATCTTGTGAAACTTAAAAGCCTCCGGGAGGGGAGGGGTAGACTGAATTTAGACAAGGATTAAGAGTCGAGTACGGTACAACGAATCGTCTTCTTTCTCTAGTGATTTAATGAAACGTAAAAAGGGGGAGGGGGGTGGGGGAGAATCTAAATTCAGACGAGGATTATTTTCGAAAACATGTACAACGAATCGTCTTCTTTCTCTAATGATTTAAGGAAATTTAAAAGCTTCCGCGCTTCGCACGGGATGGGGAGAACCTAAATTCAGACGAGGATTAAGAGTCGAGAACTCGACAACGAATCGTCTTTTTTCTCTAATAATTTAATGAAACGTCAAAGCTTCCGCGTTTCGCGGAGGATCGGAGGGGAAAAATTGCCCCTCCCTGCACCGACCCCCCCCCTGCATTACGTCACTGTTGGTCACAATTACGTACCAATATTTGGCACGCAAAATTTCAAATTTGGGCCCCCCCCCCTAAGAAATCCTGGATCCGCGCCTGCGTTATTGGGCGCGCGACAAGGAAACGGTCCAGGTTGTGGACTCAGTGGCGGATCCAGGGGGCCCGGGGGCCCGCCCCCTGAAAAAAACGTGTAAAAACGCGTTAATTTTACATTTTTTTTTGGAGATGCCCCCCCCCCCGGCGCTCAAGGGGGGGGGGGGTGCGAATTAGTGCCATTAGTGCCTCACTACCCCCCCCCCCCCCCGGCCCACTGAGCGAATTATCGCGATTTTCAAATTTTCGGGAGCAAAAAAAAAAAAAAAAAGTCCCTTCCCCCCACCGAGCGAAATATTGGCCGGCACGATTTTCAAATTTCAGCACACTAAATTTCAATTTTTGACCCCCCTAAGAAATCCTGGAACCGCGCCTATGTGGACTAGGTGTCTCTGTGAGCGCGTCTGTGGGTAAACCATAGTGTATAAATCATGAAGTGTATCACGGTAAATGGGTACGTGCTACAGTTCGCGCAGGGACGCCTGGATATGGATATGACGTAAAAATAAACTCTTTTGACCAAGTGGTCAATAAAACATCTAAAATGACCGGGATTGAAATATGCTGATTACGATATTCGCAATCAATATAATGGTCGGAGCTGTGGACCAATCAACTTTGTACGTGTAAAAGCTATCTAAAACGAACTATTTCCATGCAATACAAAATCGAGCTTGAATTACTTATATTACATCACATAAAGCTTTATTACGACCTAAATTACAAATTTGTTCGTTTGGTATTAATATATGAAACTTTTACGATTACAGGAAGAAAACAATAGATTCGAAAGTAAATCTAGCTTGAAAAACGCTTCAGTAAATGCTAGAGCGAATAAAATGATTATAATGCCGATAAATTCGACTGAAAAACAGGAATGAAATAAAGATAAAGCAAAATCTTTAATACACGCGTGATGTTTATACAGTGCGACCCAGAAAAAAACGAAACCGACAATTATCGATGTTCTAACAGTTCTATTATAACTTAATCACAATTATAATTAATAAATAACACATATTTGTAAAGCTTAGATCCTCCTCTTTCATTTTGATGCAACTCATATGATGGATATTTCACGCATGAGTGATTAAAAACAATTTGAAGGAAGGAAACCAAAAAGTCATTTGGCGGGCGGTATCTGAATTTGGAAGAAAAATTCACATTTCTAGAAGGTTCAGTTTCTGCCCTTTCATACGACACCTCAATAAGGAAAATTGAGCAAGGAGAAACATAGTTATGTTTATTTAAAGTGATGCTTGCATTTCCATAATTTGATTTAAAAAGTTCGTTTTTACTGGCTACCTGCCGTAGCAACAAGCAGAAATTGACAAAAGACTTAACTCTGTTTCATTGACAATCAGACATGCATGAAGTCTTTCGTCTATGTCTGATCGTCAACGAAACGGAGTTAAGTATTTTGTCAATTCCGGTTGTTGCTACGGCAGGCAGCCAGTGAAAACTAATTCGTTTAATCAAATTATGGAAATGCAAGTATCACTTTAAACAATTGTGATTAATTTATGATAAAACATCGATAATTCTCGGTTTCCTTTTTTCTGGGTCACACTGTATATTTTACACGCCTTTCCCCATCTCTTGTACTCGTTCTTTAAGTCTGGTGTAATCAGTGTATTATTTGCCTGAATATTCCTCGCGACTGGAAAACACCCACGGTCCTTTATAAGACGATCTGACAGATTGTGGAGAGGAGAACAAAATTACAGTCATGTCGACTCCATGTGTATCGTTGAGTCAGAAATACACAGTTTCCATTTCCGTAGCCTATGGGGCAACCGCTTTCCCAATCTAAGAGGGGAGAAATAATTTATTATAGTATTATGCGTTTTACTCCCAATGAGGGTTATAATAATGCAGCTAATAATGATAGTGCATCTAATACAATACATGCATTCGGATATGTTGGGCAATGCAATGTAAGTTACATGAAAAATAGTTCTGCAGTTAATTCATTGGTAAAGACAATAAACTTTAAGTGTAATGGAGCTCTCACACTCTGCCGTGTAGGCCTACCGTCCACCTGCCGGGCTATTAAAAAAAAACAGAGTCGGAGAGTCCAGAACGTTGGGTTTTGAGCGAACTTGTCCCCGGCCGCAAACAAAAAT